AAAATTTAAAATCGCCTTTTTCCATTGCATCGCAATATACTGTAGCATAGACGTTTTATCATCATTCGGTCCAGCGGTATTTACTTGCACAAGGTCTGGTATTCCAGGAGCAGGTTTGTCTTCTGGACTTCATCATTTATTAATCCCTTTGCAGACTTCTTTTCCTGTTCTTCGCCTTTTCATTCAGATAACCGATTTCCCCACTGCGCGCAGACGTTACACCAAATTCTATATTAGGAATATTTTTAATTCTGACCGGAATTAATTTGACCAGAATTACTGTCAATCAGTCCACTGAATATCAGTGTGGCGCATATATAAGCCTAGCGTTTAAATAAGTGCACATCAAAATTTTAATATAAAATGTGCACATACCTTAATACTGTAATATGTTTTAATTAAAGTCAAAGCACTGAATGACAAAGTTTATTAATAAATTAAATAAAGGTTATAATCTATTTTAATGAAAATAATTCTTTTTTAAAATTGTTTATTATCATTAGAATTAATACTGAATTAATATTTATTTCTTATTTTCCATTTTTTTTTTTAATAACTACAAGATTTTCCTGCGCTGCCAGAAATTATAAAAATTTACATATAGATGACTGGATTTTTAATTATGATCGTCTCAAAACAAGCAAATCAACTCAATGATATCTTTATGATATGTACTACAAAGCTATTTTATAAGACTTATAAATATTTTTTTTGATAATTTTTAATTGTGTACACCAACAAAAAAGGAAATTCGTGTAACTGCACGATGAACAATTAAAAAAAATTTTGGACTTAAGTGTACGACAAACGTTTTTATATGGGAATCATATGAATTATTAATATTAAAATTAAATATTGGATATTTTTAGATTAATTCGGATTTTTTAGTTTATTTTCTGATATTAATTTATATTATAAATTGCCTATACTTTTTTTCTCTGGAAGCAATTTATCGCCTTGAAAATGAAGCCATTAAAAATTTCTGAAAATTTAATAATTTGGTAAATCGTGGATTATTAGTCTTTGTGCAATAATAAAAGATCCAACAAATACAAGCTTAAAAGGCTTGAATTATTTACTAGTTTTTTATTTGAAAAGGAATGTGTCGCAGAAATTGAAATGAAACCAATCTATATTTATGGACTTAATAAGAACTAGGAAAATGGGAACCGTTGAAGGTTCGTCGCCTAATAGTAACAGTATAACAGTATAAATGGTCATTACGGCGTAGTGAATTGTTTTATATTAATTTATGTATGATTAATAAAATTATTGTCATATTCATTATTGTTATATAAAAAGATTCGGAAGGAAGGAAGGAAAAATACATGTGTTAAACCGGTACTGTGAATTTATCTAGTTCCGTACAATAAATAATCTTTCGCTATGCTCCGGACAATCACTATAAATTATAATGATCGTCAAAAAAAGATGGTACACCCACCGGTTAGTCATAACTTTTCTTTTTTTTTAAATTTTTTAAAAAAATTGTCAAAAATTTTAATTAGTCCGAAAATTAATCAAGTATAATATAACCGATAACCAGTTCAAATCGGATAAAATTTTAAAATGCAAAAATTTGGGATGATTTCTTATCAAGGTAGTTTTAAATTTTCAAATAATGGTAGGGACCCTGAAAAATATTAAAACCAGCCAAAAAAAATTTATACATTTTTCAGGGCCGGAATTATGATAGTGTCAGTCAGTTACCAAAACAAATTCTGCCAAACATTATCAAAATTTGTCTAAAAAAGAAAGGATTTACATGGTTATTTTGGTCTATTCTACGCATTCTTTCCTCCTTACCTATTTCAGTATTTTTCGGGGTCATATCATAATGTCGATAATTTCTCAGCAACCAGTAATTCAAAATATTTAAATCACGATTAAATCCGTTCTACAAAACTAGGTAACGCGAAACTGCGTTGAAGTGATAAAATAATACACGTGTTCAAAATTAAGCATTTCCGATTGGTTTATCAAATGACTGACAATTCATGATTGTACTTGAAGACTTGAAGTGTCGCATCGGATAATAAAAAATTTTCTAAATTTGAATCACTGGTTATTTTTTAACAAGAAATTTAAAGTATGACTAACGGTGATTACGGTGATTAACAATACAACGTTTTTCTTCACACTACACGTAATGAGGCTTATTTGCCATTTTAACATCTTACAAAGTCCATTAGAGTTGTTAAATGTGGCGTTGTAGCACTTTCTGTATATGGCAAATCGCCGAATTACAATGTTACACGATGATTATCCCACTTATAATCTAAATGAATTTACAATTTTGGTATTAAAATGATCCTTTCCTTAAAAGCCACATTTTTCTATTATTGCTTTATTTCATTTACTTGATAAAATTACAGGCCAGGTAATATGTAAAGTCTGAAACATGTCGGAAATGACATTAATTGTAATTATCCGGGTATTATTAATTTAGTTCCTGAATAGTATTATAAGTATGCCTTAAAATAAGTCGACAAATGTCTTATTAATAAATAATGAGCAAAGTGTTGCATATTAGATTTTTAAAGGATTTTTCTGTTGCTTATTAGATTTGACGATAATATTTTTAACTGACGTAATCATTTAAAGTAACCAGCCTAAATCTTTTCATTTAAATATTTCCATACAATATGTTATTTTAATCGATCACTTATGATTTTGTTTGTTGCTCGATCATTATTCATAGTTCGATTTTTGATTAAGTATTATTGAATAAATAGAAAATAATGTGAATTATTTTACATAAAATCACACGATTTGAATTGTGATATATTAAACAATATATAAAATTTTTTACATACATGAATAAAGCCACTCGCATCATTATATAACTATACAGCTTAAATTAGTAAATTTAATACTGATCTTGTACGATTTTCGATTATTTATTGTAATACAGAAATTCAAAAGGCAATTTTATTATGCTGTGCAATGTTTTGAAGATCCGAGGTCCGATAATTATACATATATACTCTATATCCTACTATTTTTTTTTATCTTTTTTATCTTCAAAAAAAAAAAGGTATCTGTTGTATGATAGCGGAACGGACCCTGTTATCGAAAACAAAGGAAATGAAATTCAAGTAAACAAGAAATCTATTTATATGACGTTCTTTTATTATCTTAATATATAAATACATTCCTTATTTTTAATTCTTTTTTTTTAAAAAAAAAAAAAAAATATTATGTGTACCACTTTCATGCACAGCCACAAACTTTATGCGGTAATTATTGTGGCGTTAAAAAAAAAGTAAGTTTATTTGATAAGAAATTTCATATCTTACTTTAACTTTATTCAGAATAAATTTTCATCTACTTAAAAAGTTTCACTAATAAACATTATTAATAGTTATAATCCAAAAAATTTTAATAATAGACTTGCAGTTATCAAGAAGACAAAGAAAACTTAAACCATACAATGTCTTTTTCAATTCTGTTTGCATTTGAACGAAAAAATAGTTTCATTCAAACAATGAGACGGCAAAAATCAATAAATGAAAAACATTATCTTAAAAATGAAAACAAGATATAATACAAATGGACAAAACCTTTTTAATTCACATGTTAACTTTTTTTTATGTTGTACATTTAAGTGTTACAATTTATCAAGTATTGTTACTATTTATAATTTTTGTGCAGTACTTTATTCGTTAATTTAATCGATCGCGTTAGATAATCGATTAAATTTTGTATAAATATACCTCGCTTTTTTCTTTTTCCCAATTATATCTACTACTACTTCATATACATTAAAATGTCAATTAATAAACGTCGTCAAGTAATCATGAATAGAAGAATTAGACGTATAATTTCTTATAGTAGAAGGCAAATACCTACCAATAACGCAAACATGTTTTTAATACCAGCTACACCATTAGCACCATTGCGAATTACGAATGATCCGTTTGCAAATCAATTGTTTAATGGAATCTCTTTTCATTAACTTTTTAATATAGTAAGTATGATTCAACTACTTATGTGTCATATTAACTATGAAAATTCTTAATTTTAATTGACTTACATTATTTTTCGTAATAGAATTTAATGAAAAAGATTCTGAGCTATAATGATGTAAAGAAACATCAATTTTGAAATATAAATTTATTATTATAACAAATATTAAGCTTATTAGGTTTCTACCAATCATGCGATAATAATTTAACTGACAAACTTTTTATTACGTGGGCCAGATCTATTGGTCAAATTAAGGAATATGAAATATCATAAAATTTATTTGTTTATTTTTTATTTAAATATAAAAATATTTTATGTATATGTTATTTTAAATTTGTATAAATAGAGACCTATTTAAATATAAATTCAAAATTATGCAGATATTTTATATGAAATCATAGTATATATGGGATTATCTAAATATAAATTTACATATATATATATATATATATTAATGATTTAAATATGCTTTATTGACATTAAGTTTATATACCATACAAACAAAATTATCATGTATAAATTTACATATAAATTAAATGCTATGTAAATATCTATATACTAATTGTTAAATACAAGATACAATATGTGGTTTACTTGTATAGTAATAAGTTTAAAAAATCTTATTTCAATCCAAGTCTAACATGAATACTAATAATAAAGCTCAGGCAACTCCCCCAGCGTCACCATCAAAAAACTCTGGCACGTGATTTTGGTGGCTTAAATTAATAGTCCGTTAAATTATCCGGTTGATTGGTATTAAATTATCCGGCCGAAATAAAATATTTTTTTCTTTTGACGGCTTTCATACATTTTACCCAATTTAAATTTATTGAAATACAAAATGTAATTATAATAATAAAATATAAATTTATTTATAAAATATTTATATAACATACTAATCATTTTAATGTAAATAATGAGTGTTATTTGTATGCATGACCTTTCCATGTTAATGGCATAGTTCTCTTTCTTCGATATTGTTCAACTTCTTTAACTAACTTAATAATATCATTAAAGGACTTTTACATAATTTAATATTCCTTTAGGAAAGTAAGTGCCTTTTCAGTTGTATCAATTAAGTCATCAAACAATTCAATATCTCCTTCAGTTGATTCATCTATTATATTTAAATCTTTATGATAATTGTCTTTATCATTATCTGTATATGATAATAAATTATTTTCTATTAAAAAAGGAGGTTCGTAGTTTCGATACAATTCCTTTTTAGTGTTCACATAATCTAAACTGCTTAGTCAAATAATAAGAACATCCGCAGATCAGATCAAATTTTCTATATCAGTTATATATAATTTTTCCATTCTGATTTAAAATCTTAATCCAATCCGGCTTCTCTATTCCGTCACAAATCTGCTGCATTTTTGCTGTTGATGAGCAACAACTTGGTTCATTAAAATATATGCAACAGGATCCATCCATGGACGAAAAAACTTGTACAAGAAGTCCCTTTTGATTGTTTTCCAGTGTCCCTCAACGAACATTGTAGTTTTTAATATTGAGATCATATTTTCACAATCAAATATCGTATTTGCCCAAAAATAAGCAATATAATATTTGCACGGATGAATTTTTATAACTACGCTACTTTTTTTTAAAAAAAGAAAGAAAAGGGAAGGGGAACCAATTGATTATATATATATATACCTTTAATGTAATTCTTGGTTATTTGATGGTGTATCTTCTAAAAGAATTGTAATTACTTCACTTAAAAAATCAATATCAATGACTTCTAAGATATTAGGTTGGTTATTATTTATTTCTATAGCAGATCTTTTTCGTTTTTGGGTAAATCTTTGACGACAATTATAACACGTTTTAAGCTATTTGGAAATACCGTTAGCACCATGACCCATAAATTCATATAATGCTTTAAATGTTTCACAGCCATTACAACATGTATTTGTCAAAGAGGTTTCCATTATAACGTAAAAAAATAACACCAAGCTTCGAAAATTAAAAAAAAATGGAGTAAAAAAAGTTTCATTGTTATTATTTAATAATATAAAATTAGGTCGCACAAATTTTTTTATAAAGTAATCAACAAACAAAGTCTATAAAATTATTTAAATGATTTGCTATTATTGTTTTACGTATGTTTTATAGTCCACAGCCACGATAACAATATTACTGTGCCATTCAAATCACGTGCCTGAGCTTTTGCTAGGATATTCTGTTTAAGTCACATGACTTGTGTAAGGTTAGAATCCGTGTACGTAGCTAAACATGTGACTTTATGTTCTCACTTACGTTATCCACTTTCTACATACTCTAATTGAGTCCTACACTTATGCTTTGAACAACAAAAGAAATTTTGAGTAATATATCGACTTCAACATTTTTCCTAATACACTGTGATTACGAAGCTTATTTTATTGAACATCTTACAAAGTCCTTTTATATTGTGATATGATTATGAATCCATTTCTTTCTTTCAAGAATCAGCCCGATTAAGCAACTGAAATAAGAAAATTAAAGTACTTTTCTTTTAAAATTTTACTATATATAATACCTGCATTATAATATAACTAATAAACATCCTGCCTAATTGTTACAAGTATAAGACCTTAATTGTTGTATAAGTTTTAAACATCCTCCATTAATAATTGAAACTCGCGCAATAGAGGGAGACAAGGGTCAACTCTCCTAAATTTGTATCATTCCCGGGGTATTATGGCCCGCAAAATATGGTATTCATCAATACCTTTGAATTAAGGCGTAAAAGTCTAACATAAAAAAAGAAATATAAAAATCTTTCTTATTCAATATTACATTTATACCAATTTAATAAATCAGAAAAGTATGTACGGTAAAATAATTCGGGAGTTACTCTCCATGCATGCACGATTTGTTATATACAAAAAATACAGAAGGTACCATTACTCATTATTCCAATTGAACAATAACAAAAAAAACAAAAAATGAATTTTTAAAGTAGGCGTGGGATACTGTGGCTCGCAAAATACGGTAATACTTTATTAGATTTGATGATAACATATTAACTGACGCATTACTCATATGAAGTAAACGGTTTAAATAAATCTTTTCATGCAGTAAATAATATAATTGCGTTATTATAAAGTACTACTATAAATATAATATAATAGATAAGCTTAAATTTGAGTTAGTCATAAATTGGAATTTGGAAGTAAATAATTTTAACAAATGTACAATTCCTTACTTGAATAGACGCGGTTGGAAAAATATATTTCTTTATTTATTAAAAATTTAATTTACTAAAATATAAATAAGTAATAGTTATTCCACGGGGAACCGTGGATATTACACGACTGCACCGTGAAGATCACGTTTCCTAATAGTTGTCCGAGTTTCTCCTTATTGATGTTTTATGTGGATGTTTATTAAAAAAGATAAGCTAAAAAGTTTATTAATAATTTCAAATTGTATGCGGGACGTTAGTTTCAACCTCGATCACATTATCATCACAGCTCCGCCGTGATGAGCGAAGCAACTATTACATATTAAACCAGTACTTATGTCACCCCTTTTACTTGCAAAAATAACAGCCTACCATAGTTTTAATAGGCTGCACAGCAATATGATTTATTTGGAGGATAATCCATTGTCGTAACATCTAATCTCACAACCAGTTAAGGAAAATATAAAATTAAGAGGCTTTCTAATCGTATAAATAATAATGAAATCTTTAGCTTTGAAATATTTTACATAATGAAAAAACAGAAATATGAAAGAGGCCGAACGAAATAATTAAAATCCACCAAATAATTAAATATATTGAATATATATAAAAACGAATAGAAAATATATATACTTGTATAAAAAAAAAATAAATAAAAGTGATTAAAAATGCATGATTACCAGTATATAACCAAAAATTTTATATATGTGTTACTCGCACATACACAAAATTTCTCTTACAGTCTTAAGTTCGTAGGATAGCTGCGTAAAATTGCCGATTTACATGTGAGATAGTTATATATTATCATAAAAAGTATGACCAATGCATGTACATGTCGGTGTCAGTCCGTATCGCGCCGATCACATTTATTTCCACAGAAAAATATTTTCTCATTTTGAATCTGTCAGCAAATAAGGAAATTAAGCGTTTTTTTTTGTTACTTATAAAATGCAACATATGAGTTCACAGTAACCGTGGTTAGACCCAATTAAATCTATAACCAAGAATACTGAAATTGTAAAGAGTTGTAGCTAAATTTTATTTAGTACCATATGACCAACATTGTAAATTTACTATAATACAGTTATGTGCATTTATGCTTCCAATAGATAAAATTTGGTTAGAAGCTTCCAATCCAAATGATTTTATTAGAAAATTATGCTTCCATTCTTTCCAAAGGTGCTTCCAAAGATGCTTCCAATCTTCCAAGTGTACATCACTGCAGTTCAATACTTTATTATTTACTAATATTACAAAAAACAAATACTTTGGCGTAAAACATATATACAAAAATGCTTTCATAATATAGAATTCAATTAATCACTTTCCGTAATTCCGTTTTTGTCGTCAATTTTTTTTATTGTATATTTTTATGATTTTGAAAAAAAAAGAAAAGATAAAGAATCTGCATTTATTTTTGTACAATATAAACAAGAAATTATTATGAAGGAAGTGTTTATATCAGCCGATAAAACTTACGCAAATGAAGTCAAAGTTTTGAATTATAAAAGACGCCAACTGGTTTTTTTGTTTTGCAAACATTTTTGATTGAGTCGTTTTATGTAATATTAATTAATTAATGACAAAGAGGTTATTTTTCGGCAGAGCACTACTTTATTACTATTTACGTTATTAATTCTTCTTTTTAAGGATTTCCAACAATTTTGCAATTAATAGTGAGTATATTCGATTGGATTAGATTAGATTCTTATTTGTCCAACCCGCATTTACCAATAAAATAAATAGGTTATTTGTGTGACAAAAATTTTTACCTGTTTAAGTATTAGGTATTAAAAGGCTCTTCCTTATTAACAAAATCAAATAAAAATTTTTTAAATATTTTGATTTTTGTATACTCATGAGATGCTATCATCTTATTTATCAAATAATAAATTTATGTTGTTATTATTTCTTTTATGCTTATCTAATAATAACAAATAAGTTTGAGGATCAAAGTAGTAAATTTAAATTTAATTCCTAAAACAAATTAGTAATAAACGATTGTCATCTGCTGCGCTTGGATATTGAATTGATAAACATTGGAAATATAAAAAGAAGGAGGCTTAGTAACTTTTAATTAAATATATTATGAATTAAATCAAATAACGTTAATCGAAGAAATTAAATTTTTAGGTTCTCGTAACATGTCCGTGTCAATTTTTCGAAAAATGAAAAGTTTTTAATATAAAAATCACACTTTTCACATGCATAAAATAAAAGCCGCTCGCAACTTTGTGTTACAAGAATATAAGGTATTATTTAAATTAGTTAATCAATGGACTGTATCTCGTATGATTTTATCAATCATAGGTCCGAATATCATTAATACAGTATATACTTATTCTGCTTTTTTTTTAGAAAAAAAATGAAATTAAAGTAAAAAAGAAATCTATTCATATGGCGTTCCTTTATTATCTTAACATATACAGTTATATGAAATATATTGAAATTTTCTTTAAAAAAAGAAAAGAATACATGAACAATCACAATATTATAGTTATTGTATAAAAAAGTGAATCATTTGATAAAGCGCCAACGAAAGGACAAATAAACCTTGACTTTATTCAGAATAAATCAAAGAAAAATAGGTTTGTTCAACAATGAGAAGGCAAAATCAATAATATGAAAACTTTATTCGAAGATCTTATAATGAGAATAAATTAGTAGCAAATAATACCAATAAAATATTAGTTCAATTTTGTTTATTTTATTGATATAATCAAGGTGCAACCATTTGATAAACATTTTGTTTAATCAACAAAATTCATATTCTAACTTTTTTTATATATTGTACACCTAAATATTACAATTTATTAAGTAAATTTTTACATTCAATCATAATAATTTTACTATTTTGTTAATTACTTTAACGCGTTTGATTGGCTATGTATAATTATGCATTATTTTATTCGTTGATTTAATCGATTAAATTTTTTATAAATATCTTGTTTTTTTCTTTTTCTCCAACTTGTTACTGTTTTGCAGAAGAAATAGGACAAAAGAATTGCTAGATTGGATCTATTTGATTACAAAATCGTACCTGATCTAATCTATACAAAATACTGCAATCTTATTTATTTGTAATATACAATATAGTAAAATGTCTATTCGTAGTCGTAATCAAGGACTCTTGAATAGAAGGATTAGACGTAGGATTACTAGAAGGCAAATACCTACCAATAACGCAAATATGTTTTTAACACTAGCTGCACAATTACCATTGCAAATTACGAATGATCCGTTTTCAAATCAATTGTTTAATGGGAACTCTTTCCATTTCGTAATTTTTAATATAGTAAGTATGATTCCATTACTTATATATTGTTTTAACTATGAAAATTTCTTAATTTAACCCTCTTACATTAATTTTTGTATATTTTTAAGACAAATCATCAATAAATATGATCAACATCAATTTTATCACAATGGGTTTAAGATGCTAATTGTGTAGTAAAGTTATTAGAAGTTGTAATGTTTAGGACTTAACTAGAAATAAAATCACATCAAGTTTTGCCTGAAAAAATTTAAGCAATAATATGAATTTTTTACTAAGTACAAATGTCATTTAACTATGTAAAAAATTATTATATTGTGTTTCTTTTTTTGACCAATATTCATTCGAAGCTTTTTTTTAATTCTTTTATTATGATTATTAACAAATTTCAATTTATTAATAATTAATTATTATTATTTATAATCTATGAAATTTTCGCAAAGCTCTCATAACAAGTTTCAATTCATTCTTTAGATTCAGAAGGATTTGCTAATTGAAATTAAACCTGTTTTACTTTTACTTTTTTTTTAAAAAAAAAAATACGTAAGTCTGTTTTTTTTTGTAGTTGGGATAATTTTTTTTATTGTCCCGATCACTAATACCTTCTGCTAGAAATCAGCTTTCCTCTGTTCTTGGCATGTACAGCATTTAAACAAGAATACTATCTGTTCAGTATTTTAGAAATTAAGATATAATCTTATTTTAATAGTATTAATGGCTAAAGAGTAACCATAAAATTCAGCCAGCCCTAACTAGAAAGTAAAATAATTTCTTCGTGAATATGCAATCTTTACAGGATAATCCAACTGAATTATATATGATTCCAGACCTGAAGAAATGCGTGCAGTACTAATTGAGATGTGAGGTTGTATTTAAATGAAACTTTATTACCAGTTGGTCGATTTAAAAATTAACAAACATTCGTTTATTTTTTATATCACATTGAATTATTTCATTTTTAAAGTATCTAATAATATTTAACATAAATATTCTCAGTTTTAGCCTCTTAGACATTCATTAATCTTCTTAAAATAGTTGATATGATAAAAGGAATCTAAGCATTTCATCAGTTTTTACTTAATTCGTTGTAGCGTGACTTAATCATACGACTTATCCTATTAATTTAATTTACAATAATTACCACCAACAGATTTTCTTTTAAGCAATTAAAGATTTTATTACTTTTTGTATCAATTTTAATTTGTGCATTTAATTAAATATTATTTTCAAATAATTTCTTTGCTCTATCGTTTTACTACTTTAAAGGCTTCAATCTCCTAGTGCTCCGCAAAATTCGGGTCTAACCCGGATAATTCAACCAGAGTGAATTTTAAATTGGGTCAGTACTAACAATTTTAATAACCCGTGACCCGCATGACCCGACCCGTCGGGTCGGGTTATTCATTTCCTTGACTCGGGTTTTAACCCGAATTAGACCCGGATGATCATTAAAATTACTGATCACATATTGATTACGCGTTAATATTGATTACGTTTATATAATTTTGTTAGATGAATGAGGTAGTATATCCTCACTTAGCGAAAATTGCTAGAGACACCTTNACTTTCTCATCGCAATCTTACATCACATGCGATAAAAGGATTTCACATTACATTTAGAAAGAATATTTACACCAATAATGCGTACTTTCCACATGCTTACCCTAAAATATACGATTCTACTTCAAAACCTCTAACATCAATTTCCTTATTTCGATATTTTTTACCTATGCAATTATCAATTTCCAGAAACACTGGTTCCTATAACTTTTATCGATTACGTACCCTCTTGAAGTATAAACTTAATGTACTTAAAAATAGATAGAATCTCAAGCACCAATAGCACAATCCAACTGAGGTTACTAAACGTTGCCTTACCTACCAGTTACATTATGACCAATACCCGTCTGGAGATGTAAAGAACACATCCATATGTAGTGCTCCGCAAAATTCAGGTCTAATCCGGATAATTCAACCGAGTGAATTTTAAATCGGGTCGGTACTAACAATTTTAATAACCTGTAACCCGCATGACCTGACCCATCGGGTCGGGTTATTCATTTCCTTGACTCGGGTTTTAACCCGAATTAGACCCGGATGATCATTAAAATCACTGATCACATATTGATTACGCGTTAATATTGATTACGTTTATATAATTTTGTTAGATGAATGAGGTAGTATATCCTCACTTAGTGAAAATTGCTAGAGACACCTTGCAATTACAGGTATGTGTATGAATCATTATTATTAATTATTAACATTACATTAACTAATAAATTGATTTTGATGATTAATAAAGCAACCAGCGTTCCAGTAGAAAGAGTATTTTCCAGTGGAACCGATTTGATAGCTGCAAAAAGATGGTCTTAAAGAAGATACAATTAGAGCATGAATGTGTTCAAAGTCCTGGCAGACTAAATATAGTCAAATTTCTGTTAAAGCCAGTGATACAATTTTGATTTTATAGTTCAAATATAAAATAGGAATTGAAGATATCTTTAAATTCGTGCTTAGCTTTAGTTTTAATAATAAAAAGTTGTGTGACCTACTGTATATGATCATCTTGTAGATCAATTACTTTGCGTTATTGAAAAAATTATATTTGAAAAAACATTTTTGATATATTACTAAGCATACAGTATATTATCCAATGAAAATTACTAAAATTTCGGGTCTAACCCGGGTTATTCGAATTAAATATACTCGGGTCGGGTTTAAATTAGATCATTTCTATTTTTGCCGTGTCGAGTCGGATATATTCTCCAAACCCGACCAAATCTGACCCGGTAGGAGCACTACAATCTCCTCTATCGAATAAGAACCAGACCAACCCATGTCATACTATGCATTACGATTAGAAAGAAATAATTTATTCTCATCGTTCATACATAAATCAGCGTTTCCAATTTAATTACTATAAAAATTATTATAGATATTAAGTAAACGAAATGATTTCATGACATCATTTTCTTCATAAACTTGAGTGTTATCGCTTTCTTCATAATCTTGAGTATTACAGATTTCAAACCAGTTATAGTGGACAGCCTAATACTATACAAAATTTATAATTATATCTTTTATAAACCAACGAGCTTCTTTAATTATAATTTACTACAAAAAAATTTTTATATCTGAAATAATAATAAATTAAAAAAAAAATAAATTATCTAAATAAGTATTCCTTCCTGTTTCTCTTTTTTGGCCCATGTTACCGCGTATGTAGTTGCGCATGTTACTAAATGTAACATGCGTATATGGCAGCTCATGTTACCAAATGCAATTGTATTTTTTTTGTGCAAGTACCTTTTGAGTTATCTAAAATTTGCATGTATACCTTTAAGAAATGGTTTGAATTTATAATACTGTGGAACAGGCGACTTAAAAATAAAAAAATTTATTATGTAGATTATAGTGTACTACTGTACCTATGGCGATGAGAATCGCCATCGGAACGTACACATGATCCGACAGCCAGATTCGGATTTTAAGGTACTTGATATTTTACTTTATTTTGGTATTTATAAATTTATTGCTTCCGATCAAAATTATTTCAAATTTGTGTGATAATTGATAAATACAAAATTTATCATTTCGTGATTTATAAGCGTTAAGCGATATATTATTATGAAATGATTAGAATACGTATAATAATAATTGATAATGAAAATAAGAAAATTTTTAAAGAGTGTTTTTATAACTGCAAAGAATGTATCGTACATTTATACAGAATATATAAGACGTTAATAAATACAATACTGAATTTTAAATTTTTTTAACGTTTCCTATTAAATTTTTCAAGGTTTAATAAGTGAATCAAGTTCAAATTTATTATAACATTGCCTTCAATTACCCTTCAATTACTAACAAAAGGTTTTTTTAACTGACATATTTGACTTTTATATTTTATAATAAACTTGACGTTAGCAGAGATTGATATTAATGATAAATAAATAGTAATGTTAATTTAATTAACTAGTATTATATAATATTAAAAATATTTTGAAAGATCGAAAAAATAAAATGTTATTTGAGTATAAATTGTACAAGTTGTTGCTGCTCGATGCAGTTGCATCATGTGTAATAAATTATAAATATAAATATACTAAATGCTATAATAACCTACCTAAGTCATTTCACTGAAAAATAATACCACCTAATATAATATTCGCAGTTTTTATTGCGATGAATTAAAGGTTAATAGTAAATGTAAAAATGAATAGCTAATGATCCTTCTTATTATCAATATTAGATAAATACAATCCTATGAAGAACGTGAAAATCTTTTCGGAATTTTTTTCAAATTCTCACTTCTTATTACTTTATTGTTATTTAAATTTAATGCGTTTTCCTATTTTAAAATTATAAAATAAATAAAATGTAAACGAATATAGAAAATTTTTATCAATAAATATTTACCATTATTTTCATGAGAGCTAATATTTAATTTTTCAATATTTCGCTTAGTTCCAAGTACGTTTGATCTATTATTAAATTGTGTTTAGTTAAAGATTTTAAATTATTGAACTTTGCAAAATTATGAAATTTTAATGTTGAAATTGTACCTTTCAATATCAATGTCAAGTTCTAGTTCTAATGAAGTATAATCTAAAAAAGAAATCAATATTTATACAAAATTTAATCATGGTTAGTAGTTTATTGTATTTATATGCTTTTTTACCACATACCTTTAGAGGAATTAATAGATGAACATTTAGAAATAAAAGAGCTTAATGGTCTACTTGTAAAAATAGCATTTGGATGAGGTTTTTCGCTAAACTCGGGACCAAGTTTTCTTGAATTTATTAACTCCATTCTTTTTGATTCAGCTTGATCAAATGCTTTAATATGCTTATTTCTAAAAGTCCAACTACCAAGAGTATTGCGAACTTTCTTTATGGGTGGTCTTTTTTTAGGGTCCGAGTCCCAACAACTTTTCATTAAATTTGCATAACATTCTGGTGTATCTTCTGTAATTTCAGGTCGTTCTCCGTCAAGAATTTTAAAAACAAGCTGAATATCATGCTCTTCATTAGCAAAAGGTTTACAACCTGTTGTAAGTTCCCACATAATCATTCCCATACAATAAATATCGGTTTCTTTAGAAAATGGGGATCCTTTAAATATTTCTGGCGCAATGTAAGGTATCACTCCATATATTTCATTATTTGATGATGTATTATTTGCAGGTTGAGACAATCCCAGATCTCCAATTTTCCAATCATGTCGTCTATAAAGCATTGCAACTTCTGATGAGGAATAAGATGAATCAGTATCAAATAATATGTTACCACTATGAAAATCTCGATGTATATAATTCGCTTTATGAATAGTTTCAAGCCTAAGATAAAAAATCAACAAATTAGGAATTATTACAAGTAACTCAATTGAAATATTAATTCATTTACCCTTCTGAAATTTGCCATAGAATAGATAATTTTTTTTTATGCCATGTAATATCTGCAAAACTTTTTTGTAGCCATTTGTGCAAATCTCCTCCATTTGCATATTGCATAACCAGTATATAATCATCTAATTCAGGATCTTTTGTAAAACCATAAGTTTTAATAATATGATGCTTAATTTGATAACAATGTTGATTTGATTTTAACTATAAATTCATGATAATAAATTAGTATATTTATAAAACATTAATAGAAAGTGTAAATGTAAGATAACATTCACCTCATTTAAAAAATGTTTGTCAATATCTTTAGAATTTATAAATCTTTTTAAAATGACTGTTTCATTTCTCCTTCTAATTCTACTACCATGTTTATTGATACAAAATGAACCATCTAACCAAGTTGCTTGATATATAATACCAAACCCTCCTTTTGCTATTTCTTTTATGTTCGTAAATTGAGAATACGGTATCCATTCCATTGATAGTTCAACATCATGATAAATAATATTACATATATTATATGGATTAAAATGTGTTACTTTATTTACGTTATCAGCAAATTCAGTTATTTTTAATTTATTGTGAATACCAAGCCTCAAATTAGAAAGTAAATCATCTAAATCATTATTCCCGACGCTAATTTTTGTGATATCAAAATTAATAGATAATACTCTTTTGCATTTTTTACATTGAGATTGAATTGTAGGTCCAAAAATAACATTTGTTGTTAGACAATATCTACATCCAGTATAAAATATAAGACAATTTGTACAATACTTTTGACAGCCTGATGTAAATGATAAGGTTTTTTTACAAAAATCACAATGAGCTATATTATGCCACCATGATAAATAAATAATTGGAATGGGGTTTTCGGTTAAAGTTGATTCTATATATCCAGAAGAAATTAAATAACAATCTGAACACAATCTGTAATTACTAAGTATCATATTTTGAAATGATTTTCCACATAGTTTACATTGTTTTTCGCTTTCATCCACTAAATTATAATCAAAAGAATCAGTAATAAAATATTTGTATTTAAAACAATTCGTAAGAATTTGTTTAAAACATAAAATATCAAAGTGATTTCTACAGCATTCTGGGATATTTAGTGATTCATATATTATTCTATTTATTCCATGTTTGGTACATTCAAAATTCTTTGTAGACAAATATAAATCTAAGTAAATATTATTATCATTTATATCAGTTATATAACATGATAAACATTTTTTGCAATATTTCTGTTCACATAAAATCGCCTTAATATAATCTTCTCCGCAATAAATACACTTATTATCATTCTCATTAAATGAAACAAACAAGATCGGTATTGAGCTAGATTTTAATCTTGGCATTGGGTCAAAATAATTTCCTTCATATATGATATCCATATTATTGTTATAGGTAATTACAGAAAATTATAGTTTTGATTGTTCCATAGGGTTAAATATAGAACTTTCCATTGTCATACTATTGGCGTTATGGAATTTAAGAATTTTTCCATATCGAATAGTACAATGCAAGGGTATACGATACTACAAGTACGTTTGTAACACTTGAACTTTTTCATTTGTTTTATGAGCCGATCATTATTTGTAGTCTGTACTCATACCCTTTGTACTACTATTTTGAAACTCCGTTTGGTCTTTAATTTATGTGAACGTTATAAAATAGGAAGTTTGACAATCATAAAAAATTCGAAATAGAGAATGACACTTCGTTATAGAAAAAATTTATAATTCTAAGAAAATTGTTACTGTTTCACACACAGTATAATAGCTGAAAAGATTTTTCTGTAGTAGAAATTCCATATATAAATACAAACTTATTCATTTATGTATTTGGGAAAAGATATTCACATGTTACAATTTTGTTACAATATATAGCAACAGGACCCCGAGCAATATATGTATAGTAACAATATCATTTGCTTAGTCACATGCTATTTTAGCCACAGTTAGAGATTGGATTTACGTAAAATTAATGATATTTTTTGCTAACTTAGGTTTAATTCTAAATAGGAAGAATGTATTTAAACGTTCATTTCGAACGAGATTTTATTTATTATACAAGTGTCAACATTTACTACGGATTGAAGAATCTTTAATTATAAATCTAGATATTTATAATAGAATCTCATCGTAAACTTATGACACGTATTGTATTTTTATAGTATATTACAGACTTACAGTATATTTATAAAACATCCGGAAGTACTATTTTTGTTTTACGAAATGGTTACTGACAATAAATTTAATGGATTTTTAAGTTATCTATCTATATATTAAAAAACACTGCAATCACGTGGGCGTTATGTTTAGATTAACCATATAAATAAGTCATTTGAATTGTGTAACCCTACTCCTATTCGTCGCTAATGTTACACAAGACCAAAAAAGGAAATTTTATTTCTGGCGAAAAACTGAAATTTTGAGTTACGCAGGATTCCATAAAAGGAAATTTTCGGTTACACGAATTTCCAAAAAAAGGAAATTTTGTCTTCTGTTACTTTTCAGAGAAATTAAAAAAATTGTGTTGCTCAAATTTCCAAAAAAGGAAATTCTTTGCAGATCTTTTAATTCTGGCCGGAATTACATATTAACTGTTGTCGTAGACAACAGGTGAACACTAGTATATGTAAAAAATAATGGATTTATTGTCCGATTTGGTTAAGTGATTTAATCAATTTAAGTCATTCTTCTGATTAAAATAAATCCAATAAATTATCAATAAAAAAGAAATGGTATAATACTTGATTTCGAAAATTACATTTCTTTTATTACAGAGGAGGATTGTTCATTGTACTATATATTTTTTAAATTATAAAATTTCCTAAAAAAACATAATATTGAACATTTAGACGTTTCGCGTAAGTATTTAATACAGTATCATATTTAAGAATGTATAATGCAACTATATACTATAAACAACAATAAAGTTGAAGCTAGTTAATAGCTTATTCTACTCCAAAAGCTTCAATTCCTTCGATCTTATAATAATCACCACCCAAACTCTCTTCACAATATCCACTATAACTAATGCATGAAACCAGTAACCGCATCTGCATCGTACCAGAACCAATTATCTATATACCATATTATTAATGATTCTAACAAGAACCAAATAATGCTTGATGAAAACTAAAAAAATCAAAGTTTTAGTAGTGTATTAATTAAGAAAAAAATATTGGTTAGTTTATGAGTAGTAATAATTTTTTTTTTTTTTTTTGATACATTTTTTTTAGAATTTTTCTATCACCGGAGGTGATGATCACTGGTGACTGAAATTATGACGATCGACCAGCATTAAAATATATAGTGCCGGTAAAAATTGATAATTCTGGCCAACGGTAATGATCACCCTTTAAAGTAAAAATCTCAAATAAAGGAATATAATTAGAAAATCGACCACGAATATTTTGTACTAATTAAAAAATAATATATAAATATGATCAAACATCATCAAACATCAACAATTATACCTTAACTATTTTTCAGTTCAAACTTTAATTTAATTTAATTGTTTTTAAATGACTTCAATGTTTCATTCTGATCTTTTTAAAGATATTTTTCCAATATTAAATGGGTGTAATGATATGGTTTCAATATTTCATTCTGGTCTTTCAAAAGATTTTTCTTTCGATACTAAAAATTCACTCACGAATGAATGGGTAAACAAAAAAAGGTGGTATTAGCTACTTTTTTGATTTTATATTCTAACAAATTATTTCGAATGGTTATTATAATTTCTTTTAAGATATATCTATACAGGTGAACTTGACTTGGAAAAGCATCAAACGTGAAGAAATTCTTGAACTTCTAGCATCCGATTAACTACTTCTTGAAGAATTATTTGATCATGTTCAAGGTTATTTAATTAAGAAGCTAACAACTTGGATTGAAGAAAAAAATTTTGATCTCGTCCTTAATTAAGGATGGTCACCGGTCCTAGAAGACCACGGTCTTACCGGTCCTACATCCCAAAAAAACGGATCGGTCCGTCTCGCGTAGGACCGCGGTCTTTCGGTCCTGGGCTAATTCTGGCCAGATACATAGTGTCGGCCGGAATTACTAAATACGGCAATCACGTGATCCCCGATAAATAGTTTAGCCACCGGGCAAAAATTTTTTACTGGTTCTGCCATTGTAACACAAAATTTTTGTGTTACACTTACTTGTAATTCTGGCCAGCACTATAAGTTCGGCTTGAATTAACAGCAGGACCGAAAAGACCGAAAGACCGCGGTCCGGTCTTAAGACCGGCAGTCCTGGGACCGAGTAGGATTAGTAGGACCGATGACCATCTTTATCCTTAATACTATTTTTAAACTTGTGAGCTGCAGAAAACTACGAGAATTTTGTCTTAAATATATTTGTATAGATCTACAACCATTTATTACTTTGAAAATTTTCCTTCTCGTTAGATAAAGATATTCTCCGTCTATAGTTTACTTGAACGGGAAGACTTGCAAATCGATGAAATTTAGTTTAGAATAGTTTAGGATAGTTTAATTAAATATGGTATTAAACAAACTCCTTGTTTGAAACGTATGGATAACGATAGTACCGAATGGAATAATGAAAATTATGAGGCATTAAAGACAACTTTATACCTCTTATTTGTTTTGTAGAAATTTCTTCTACTGATTATGATAATGAAGTCCGACCTTACAAAGTTATTATCCCTAACGCTAATTATATTTTTAAAGAAACTGAATAATTTTATCTTAAAGGTATCTTACAGAAAGAAACCATTTTACCTCAACGAGTTGGAAAAAATTCAATTTAAATCGAAAGTCATTAAAAAAACATATCTATAATCATCAATTGAATCAATGGAAAAGATGCAAGGGCTACACCTGATAAAGATGATTTCAGTTATCATATAACTTTGACCTCATTTATCAAGGTAGCAAAGTTGGAATCAATAATTACTATTAATATAGAAAGAAGTATAGCATAAGGGAACCAATTTTGGTTTTAGTAAAATGTAAAAGTTCACGAAAATATTTGGTGGTTATACTTCAATTGGGTTTCATAATAATTTATTAATCACTATTTTCATTATGAACGCAAAATAAAGTGCTCTGGTAAATATATAATTGATGAGATAGAGGCCTTTATGGTGGATTAATAAATAAAGAACAATAATCAAACAAAGTGAATTTTTGAAAAAGATTATCTTTTAAAATGGCTATATAATAATTGTAATGAGTTCCAAGTATCCTTGACCGATTAAATCATAATTTTGAAATTGGGCTAGTAATAATAATGGTATTGATAAGTTTATACATTACGCTCAGACATATGATTTGAATACTATGACGACTTATTTAATGGAATTTGTGATATTAATCAGTAATTGAGTAATTGAATAAGTTTAATAAATTGAAATTTTCAGCGTAGAAAACTATAAACTGAGTGATTTGAATTTATAAATTATAGTTTATAAAATAGACTGAATTTACATTTTTTCTTCTTCTTTTCAACTTTTTTAAATATACATTATAATCATTTTTTGAACATAAATTTTCATTCCTTACTTAGTAAGTATTTCTTATTAATGTGTTGGCAGATAAAGTAAATACTTTATGAATAGCTGATTTGCTAATTCTTAAACTACTATTCGTTGATTTATTTCTTTGAAAGTTTTTTTATTGTTTGAATATTTTCATAAATTCTTTCACTAAGACTTTTAATGGTATTTAAATTTTAATTGATCGTATTGCAGAAATGTTCAAAAGATAATTTCATCTGAACGCTTTTTGATTCAAGTTTTACTTGTATAAATATATTTAAAAGAGAATAGTTTGAATTTCAATAACTTAAACTAAATAATTTGGCCAACTTAAAAATAATGAGATGATGATAATATATATGTATCATTTAATACATAAGAAGGACCTTTTAAAAGGCCTAAATTTTAAACTAATGAGAAATAAAAAAAGATTAATGAAAGTAGCACAATCTTACCAAATTTATCTTAAAACATTGTTTTCTTATGTTTACTGATTTTAGCGAAATTTGCGAAATTTAAAATTATTTTTTTTTTATGTTCTAAGCCAATTTATTAAATGTGACCTATGTTTAAATAACAAATAATCTGATTCAAAGAATAATAATGACCTCATGTAAAATTGATGACCAAAATATTAACCAATCAAATCAAACAAGTCATTTTAATGGTCAAATAACCATATTACAGTGTTTTAAATTCATTTTATTGTTTATTTATTTAAAGTATATAAGCGTATATGAAATTTTGGATATCTTATTATTGAATTTATATTTAAGAAAGGCCCTATTTAAGTTAAAATTTTGCCAATTTATTTATTTTTGTAATAAATCATTTATTTTTGAAAAAAAAATAATTTCTCATTACAACACTTAACTAAAGGTGATTTTAATTCTGATTTTAATGGTATTAAATAAAATTTATTTTTAATTCGCCCTTCAGATTTTGAAACAATAAAATTTACCTAACTTTAAAACTATCAATAATAAAATTTTGTTATTGCTTAAAAACATGATTATATAAAATCATACCAAGTTTGAAGCTTAGCCTGAAGTTCTAAACCCTTTATAATTTCACTGCATGTTAAAACAAAAAAAAAATGGTTATTTAATAGATTCAATACGCAAATAACATGAAATTTTCGGTTATATCATAAACCTATTAAAACTTTAAAAACTGTTAATTTTCTTGTAGATTATTGTACATTATGAAATTTATTTATTTTTATTTCAAAAGCATTTTTTTTTATCGTACAGCACGGAAAAGAATGTTTAAATTTAGAATTCCATCATTGAAAGCAAATGCATAAAAAATAATGCAATTAATGCACTAACTTTATAGTTTTCATTTATTTTGTTGTGATGACGTAATTATTAAACGCTCACAAAATAAATAAGGAAAGCCATTATTTTAATAAAAATGGATATTTCAATGAGTTTTGTACGACAAATCAAGGTGCAGACTGCGGCTGCGGACAATATCAGATAGTGATATCATAATTCATAAAAAGCAAAGATTACCAAAAAAAACCGACCACATGATGATTGCTAATTTTTGTACTACTAAAATTATATAATATTCTATATAAATATGGACAGTTAATTATATCTTATCCACTTTTTCAGTTCAAACTGTAAATTAATTTTTAAAAAAATGACTTCAATATTTCATTCCGGTTTTTCAAAAGATTTTTCTTCAATATTAAATGATGTAGACGATTATAACGTTATTATTCAAGTTGGTGAAAATAACAATATAAAAGAATTTAAGGCACATTCGGCAATTTTATGTGCTCGTTCTGAATACTTTAAAGGTGCACTCTCAAATAATTGGGTAACAAAAAAGAATGGTATGATCATATATGAAAAACCAAATATTACCCCAAAAGTTTTTGATATGATTTTAAAGTAAGTTATATTTTTGAAATTTTATACTAATTTTATTTAATTATTTTATTAAATTCTAAATTATTCTCTTTTAAAGATATATCAACACAGGTGACCTTAACTTAGAAAAACATCTATTAATTAAAGATATATTTGAACTTCTAGTTGCATCTGATGAACTAATTCTTGAAGAATTATTTGAGCATGTTCAGGATTATTTGATTAAGAAGCGAAAAACTTGGATCAAGGAAAAAAATTTTGACTTCTTCTTTAATACTGCTTTTAAACTTGTTAGTTGCAAAAGACTACAAGATCTTTGTCTTGAAACTATTTGTAAAAATTCACACCTATATATTACTTCCAAAAATTTCCTCTTGTTAGATAAAGATATTCTCTATAGTTTACTTGAAAGGGAAGACTTACAGATCGATGAAATTATTATTTGGGAAAGTTTAGTTAAATGGGGTATTAAACAAACTCCTAGTTGGAGAAGTAAGAATAATAATAGAACCGAATGGAATAATGAGAAATATGAGGCATTAAAGAAAACTTTAGATGAATTGATTCCTCTTATTCGATTCGTGGATATCTCTCCCTCTAAATATTCTACTAGAGTCCGACCTTACAACGCTATTATTCCTAATCATATTTATGATGAAATTGAAGAATTTTATCTTAAAGGTACCTTAAAGAAAGCAACCATTTTACCTCCACGAGTTGGAAGAATTCGATTTAAATCAAAAATTATTAAAAAAAAACTTATTTCTATTATCATCAATTGGATCAATAAAAATGATGCAAAGGTTATTCCTGATAAAAATGATTTAACATATAATTTTAACCTTATTAGCAAAGATGGAATCAAGAGTCAATCATTTATAAATAAATGTAGAACTGGAAAACCAATTTTAGTTTTAGTTAAATGTAAAAATTCACGAAAAATATTTGGTGGTTATAAATCGATTGGATTTTATAATAATAATAATAATCCTTTACCAAATGAATTTATTTTTTCTTTTGAAAATGATGAAGATATTCAAAATATGAGATTAAGTCGTATAAAACCACATAATTATTTCTGTTATTCTGGATTTATTTTTGGAGAGCGTAATTTATATATGCAAGGTAATAATTTGTATGTTAAGTATGATCGTAAAATAGGGTGCTCTGGTACATATATAATTGATGAGGTAGAAGTTTTTAGTGTAGTAGGACGAAAAATTATCCAAAATTAAACAAATTGATTATCTGAAAGATATTTTATTGTAATCTAATCCTGCATTTCATAAAATAAATGTCATATTTTGTTCAAAATATCATTTGTATAATGCATGATAATGGACTTTAAAATTTTTTATTTGGACATCATACGCAGCCACATGGTCATAATTGATCGGCAGTAATTCCGGTCAAGTTATAATTTTGGCCAGAATTAACATATAAATTGTAATTCTGGCCGGAATTATAATTTGGCCCGAATTATGCCGATCGGAACGAAAAATGAATTATTCTTTTTGCAAAACATGGTGCAATAATTTATTACATACAGTGACGTGTCCGAGTAAATCATAAAGCGCTTGCTAAACTTTTATATTCGTTGTTGATTTTGTAAAAATAACTAGGGAATAGTTTTGATAAAATTCGCTCGTAATAAAGTTGCTTTTAAAGTAAGTGATTAGAACCTAAAAAAATGTTAGTTTATAAATTTATTGTTTATGATAATAAGAATGTTTTATTTAATTTCTTATTTATTAAATTGTTGTCGAAATAATAACGAAATATGGATAAAGATTGTAGTATACATGAATTAATTATACGGATCAATCGGATCATTATAATAATTATGATACCATTAAAAAATTTCTTAGACTTTTTTTTGAACAATTATGAACTTCTAACTTTTTTTTTTTAATCAAAGTTTTATTTCGTTAAATAATCTTTTTTCTATAATATTATACATTATAATTTATTATTTACTACCCAATCTGTTGAGTTTAAAATATTCAGAACGAGCACGTAAAATTACCGAATGTGCTTTAAATACTTTCATATTGTTATTTTCGCCAACTTATTCATCTGCATCATCTAATATTGAAGAAAAATCTTTTGAAAGATCGGAATAAAATATTGAAGTCATTTTAAAAAATCAGAGCTTAAACTGAAAGGTATATAAATTTTAATTGTAGACAATATTTTATGTATTATTTAGTAATATAAAACTAGTAGCCTTCATCACGTGTCAATTTTCCTCCTCTCCAACGACTCCACGACTCCACGTGATCTTTGTTAAATCATTGTAATAATTATAAGTTATTGTGCTTTGCAACGATTAATATCACAATTAATTGGTAAAGATTTGGCCACGTATTGCAAAGCACAATAATTTATTATATTAATAAGTGCGTTTTGACAATTCTCAATTTGTTTTTTTTTTTCGTTTACAGGTAAAATAAAAGTTTAAATAATCGGATGCGTCATTTAGAAAATGGTTCTTTTGTTTATTATACCTTATGATCAATAGTTATAATTTTTTATTTTTTTTCCTTGTTTTCCCGTTAGGATATATTTATTATTACATGTACTACAGTAATTTTAAATATCTCGATAAATAGAATAGGAATTTATATTTCCATGTTTTTTCCGTGAATGTATCGTTTTCATGGAATTTATAACCTTAAATCATGGAAATTTTCATCTCTCTAACACGGATCTCCGTGAATTGTATCATTTTCACGGAAAGACACGGAGAAATAATGGAAATATTTGGATAAAAATTTTTATAGGGATTCAAGGACTTTATTGTGAAAATAACGTAATTATTCTTTATCCGCTCAAAAAAGATTATAAATGCAGTGTGTATTTAACAGTACTATGTTAAATCTAACTTCAGGTAATTTTATAAACATTTGTAAATCTTAATCAATCATATTATAGTTTACTTCGATGTCTGAGCGTACTAAATAAATTTGTCAATACTATAATTACTATTAGTCCAACTTCAGCTTTATAATTGTCGTATTAAAGGATTATGATTATTGGAAGTATTTAAAATATACTGTAAATTCTTAAAGTATACAAGATGTATATTTATAACTTCAATAACAATTTTATATAATTAATTAAACGTCTCATTACCATGCATTAATTGCATTATACTAATTATAGCTATTACTTAAAAATAAAAACTCTTTTGAGCAACTATGAATTACGATACCTATTTTTATCAAATTTTATTGAAATTTAATTCTGTATTCCGTAAAACATCTCTTTTGTCATATCATAATTATCGATCCTGTTCTCCACTACTTTAAAAGCTTCTATTTCCTCGATTATATATGTATTAACGAATTTTATTTTACGTCCATAACGAAAATCATAATTAACATATAAATTATTATCTTGCATATATAAACTACGTTCCCCAAAATTAAATCCAAAATCACCATAATTATTATTATAAATATTATAAATATGTGATTTTACATGACTTAATCTCATATTTCGAGTATCATTATTATTTTCAAAAGAAAAAATAAAACTATCAGATGATGAAATAATTTGATTATTTTCATTTCTATTAAAACGTTTTTTAGAAATACGATAAAATCCAGCCGGTGTATAACCACCAAATATTTTTCGTGAATTTTTACATTTAATTAAAACCAATATCGGTTCCTTCATATTACAATTATTTATAAATGATTGATTATTGATTTCATCTTTACTACCTTGATAAATAAGGTTAAAATTATATGATAAATCATTTTTATCAGGAATAGCCTTAGCATCTCTTTTATTGATCCAATTGATGATTATAGATATAAGTTTTTTTTTAATAATTGTCGATTCAAATTTAATTTTTCCAACTCGTGGAGGTAAAATGATTGCTTTTTGTAAAGTACCTTTAAAATGAAATTCTTCAACTTCTTTAAAGATATGATTAGGAATAATAGCTTTATAAGGTCTAACCTTATCATAATATTGAGAAGGAGAAATTTCCACGAATCGAATAAGAGGTATAAATTTACCTAAAGTTTTCTTTAATGCCTCATAATTCTTATTATTCCATTTGACTATATCGTTATTAATATTTCCAGGAGTTTGTTTAATACCCCATTTAATTAAACATTCCCATAGAACAATTTCATCGATTTGCAAGTCTTCCCGTTCAAGTAAATTATAAAGAATATCTTTATCCAAAGAGAGGAAGTTTTCTGAAGTAATAAATGGTTGTGGATCTATACAAATAAATTTAAGACAAAAATCTTGTAATTTTCTGCAGTTCATAAGTTTAAAGGCAGTATTAAGGACGAGATCAAAATTTTTTTTCTGAATCCAAGTTGTTCGGTTTTTAATTAAATAATCTTGAACATGATCAAATAATTCTTCAAGAAGTAATTCATCAGATGCTACTAAAAGTTCAAGAATATCTTCATCTTGATACTCTTTCAAGTCAAGTTCACCTGTATAAATATATCTTAAAAAGAGAATAATTTTAAATTTTAAAAAAACTAAACAAAATAAATTTGAAGTAAATATAAAATTAAAATGATAACTTACTTTAAAAGTATATCGAAAATTGTTGGAGTAATATTTGGTTTATTATATAAGATCATACCATTCTTTTTTGTTATCCAATCAGTTGAAAGTGCACTTTTAAAATATGCAGAACGAGCACGTAAAATTACCGAATGTGCTCTATATTCTTTTATATTGTTTTTTACACCAACTTGAATAATAACATTAAAATCATCTGCATCATTTAATATTGAAGAAAGATCTTTTGAAAGACCGGAATGAAATATTGATGCCATTTTAAAAATTAAATTTTTAAATTTTTAAAATTTGAACTGAAAAGAGTATAAGGAGTATAAGGTTTGATTGTAGACCATATTTATATAATGATTAGTAATACAAAAACTAGCTAGTACAAAACTAGCCGTCGTCACGTGATGATTTTCACCTGCATTACATGATAAATTATTTTGTATGTTGAATAAAATTACAATTTATTAAATTAATACAAAGTGCGTTGTAAAGCAATCTATATAATTAAATAAATCTATGTAATTGAATAATCTATATAATTAAAAATTTGGATATTTTAGATTAACCCTGTATAAATTAATTTAAGTTGTGTAACGTGTAGCATATTTCCGTCAAATTTATTACGAATTTCTATGTCATGTTAAAATAATTTGGATCGGTAGATTAGTGTAATGAACGCCGATCATTTTCGTCGGCTATATCACTATTTTTCGTTAAAATGTTTTAATGTGACCATTTTTATTGACGATATCAACTAAAATTATGATAAATTAATAAATTGAAAAAGATTATTTTTGTTCATGATACACTGATTTAAGTTCATTGATCCCGGTGTGAACCAATTGGGTTGATGTTAGTAATAGTAATATTTTTTTTTCAATAATCTGCTGCGTCACTTACGATAACAGAAAAAGTCACTTTACCTTATGACCAATAAAAATTATTTATTTTTGTAAAAAAAATCCATATTTCTTGTAAATTCATAATGACTGTTCTATATTAAAAAATTAAAAAAAATACAATAAATTTTTGTTTCCTTTAAAAAAAATAGACCAATCATATATCTTTTTTTTTAAAAAATATAAGATATATTAAAATAAAAAAAATCTCAATCCTTATAACAAAAAAAAGTGAAAAAAAAAATTGAAAAATAAAATTTATTTTTTTTCTCAATAAAAGAGCGGAAAATTATAATTAATCAAGGTTTTTAACCCTTTTTTTTATAAAAAAAAAAAGTTCTGGTAAAAATTTTTTTAGTTAAAAACTCATATATAAAATTTTTTCTGAGAAAATAAATGAATCTTAAGAGTTAAGACTTTATATGTACAGTAATTTTATTATATTAGTAATTATTAATCCCAATAATTACTGTATACTAATTCAAATATAATTTATTGTTTAATTTATTTAATTTTTTTTTTTTTTAAAAAAAAAAATGCATAATTTCTTATTCATAATAAACTATTTTACATTAAAAAATCATCAAAATTAATTTATGAAATAAATTTTGTTTTCTCTTAAAAAAAAAATAATAATTATCTAATCATATCATCATTAATTTGGTTTAAATTTAGAATTTAAATCTTACACAAATACAAAATACCAGTATATCAATACTATGATACTCTAAACATGAACACTCGTTTCATATTAAAATTCATATGAAATTCCTTTTTTAATTTTAAAAAATTCACACCAGGCATAGTAATAATACATAATTTTTTTCAATTTTTATAAAATTGACCCGATCGGACATGAGAACCTATTTTATTACTTTGTATTGCCCTATTTTCCTTATTTCCGTTAGAACAACGTCAAAATGTATTAATAATTACATTCATTTATTACGTTTCTTATTCAGTTTAATGCTCAATTTATATAGTTTAATTAATTTTACCAAAATGCAACACTAGAAATTTAACATGAGAAATCAAAGCCTTTAATTTAGACTAGCTGTAGTCTGTTGCGTTAAACCAATATAACAACAAAATTTAGTTAAATTGATCTTGTATAATATTGACCCGTTCTTTTATTTTTAAGTAAAAAAAAATATAATTATTCTAACTAAAAAAAATCATACAAAGCATGTTTATTTCATAAAGAAATATTTTATTTTGATTATATAACCGATCCAAATCTAGGAGGTGAAAGAATGAAAAAAAGAAAAAATAGAAAAAAAATTAGTGTAATAATAAAAAAAATAAATAGTCACGTTTACCATAGGATCGCAGCGTCTATCCAATCGATCCGATCACTGATCTAGATCTAAGCCTAAAAGACGAAATAAATAATAAGGATAATATAGGACCTATACATACTGTACATATATAGGTTAAAAAAAAATATGTATAAAAGTAAATAAAAATTATATAAAAAAAAATATTAGTAGAGATTCAGTTTATATTATGAAGAGAAAAAAATCGGAAAAAAAATATCAGATCTAACAAAAAGAGACCGAAAAAAAAATAATACTAGAAAAAAAAAAGATCCGGTCTATAAAAAGACAAAAAAAAAGAATATTATTAAAAAAACATACTTTTAAATCATCACAAGTGTCACACCCTCCACTGTTTATATAAATCTGAGGGACAGTTTTTTCAAGTTGGTGAAGTCCCACATTATTTGCTTGTGCATAATGCCGTAATGCAAGCCAATTGTGGAATTGTTTAAATGTTACTTAGACAGTTTACGGTATTAATGTTGTGCCCCAAATCTCAATATGCCCCAAATTGGCGATAATCATCGATGATTACTATATGTGAAAAGTAATGCTTTGAAAATTCTTAAGGTATTATAAAGATGGGCCGATAATTTAGGCCGATCGTTGATTTGGGGCAATCGTCAACTTGGGGCACAACATTAATAAGCAATAAAATTTCATTATCGGAATGACGGAACGTACGCATGACCCGACAGCCAATCAAATTAGATTGGATTTTAAGCCGGTTATCATATTTTGATATTTATAAATTTCTTGCTTCTGGTAAAAAATATATTAAATTTATGTGATAATTGACAAATACAAGTTTATCTAAGAGATAAAACTCAAAAGTTGCTCATGTTAATAATTTGTCATAAGGCCGAATTGAAGCCATTTCGTGATTTATAAGCGATATATTATTATGAAATGACTCAAAGTACGTATAATAATAATTGGTAACGAAAATAAGCAATAAACGCAGATATCGATCGATACTTCAAGTATGGAAAGTAAGACTTTGCAAAATTTTTAAAGAGTGTTTTTAAAACTACAAATAATGTATTGTACATTTAAACAGAATATATCAGACATGATCACTCGTTAATAAATACAATATTGAATTTTAAATTCTTTTAACGATCCCTATTAAATTTTTTAAGATTTAATAATTCAAATTTATTCAATTACTAACAAAAGGTTTTTTTAACTGACATTTTCGATTTTTGTATTTTACGTTAAAGAAATTGATGATAAATTAATAATAGCGTTAATTTAATTAACTAGTATTATTTAAAATTAAATATTTTGAAATATCGAAAAAATAAAATTTTATTTGAGTATAAATTGTACGAATTAAATAAATTGTTGCAGTACATTTATATGATAAATAAATTATAAATATAAATATACTATATGCTATGATATCTAAGTCATTTAAAAGTTTATGTAAAAATGAATAGTTGATTATCTTTCTTATTATCAATATTAGATAAATACAATACCATGAACGTGAAAATCTTTTCGGAATTTTTTCCAAATTCCCACTTCTTATTACTTTATATATTATTATATAATTTAATGTGTTTTCCTATTTTGAAATTATAAAATAAATAAAAATGTAAACGAATATAGAAAAATTTTTGTCAATAAACATTTACCATTATTTTCATGAGAACTAATATTTAATTTTTCAATATTTCGCTTAGTTCCAAGTACTTTTGATCTATTATTATTAATTGTGTTTAGTTAAAGAATTTAAATTTTTGAACTTTGCAAAATTATGAGAATTTTTAATGTAGAAATACCTTTCAATATCAATGTCAAGTTCTAGTTCTAATGAAGTATAGTCTAAAAAAAGAAATCAATATTTATCCAAAGTTTAATCATGGTTAGTAGTTTACATTTATTGTATTTATATGGTTTTTAATACATACCTTTAGAGGAATTGATAGATGAGCATTTAGAAATAAAAAAGCTTAATGGTCTACTTGTAAAAATAGCATTTGGATGAGGTTTTTCACTAGACTCGGGTCCAAGTTTCTTTAAATTTATTAACTCTATTCTTTTAATTTCAGCTTGATTAAATGGTTCAATATGCTTATTTTTGAAAAACCATTTACCAAAGGTTTTACGAATTTCTGTTATAGTAGGTCTTTTTTCGGGATCAGAATCCCAACAACTTTTCATTAAATTTGCATAACATTCTGGTGTATCTTCTGTTATTTCAGGCCGTTCTCCATCAAGAATTTTATAAACAAGTTGAATATCATGTTCAACATTAGCAAAGGGTTTACAACCAGTTGTTAACTCCCACATGATCATGCCTACACAATAAACATCAGACTCTTTAGAAAATGCAGATCCTTTAAATATTTCGGGCGCAATATAAGGTATTACTCCATATATTTCGTTATTCAATGAAGGTTTATTTGCAGGTTGTGATAACCCAAGATCTCCAATTTGCCATTGATTTCTTTTACCAAAATAACGACGTTCGTCTATCAAACTAGACAATATGTTTCCACTATGAAAATCTCGATGTATAAACTCCGCTTTATGAATAGTTTCAAGTCTAAATAAAATAAATAATTTAGTAATTATTATAAGCAAATACAATAGATATGCTAATATAAATACCCTTCTGAAATCTGCCATAGAATAGCTAATTTTTTTTTGTTCCATGTAATTCTTGTAAAATTCCTTTGTAACCAATTATGTAAATCTCCTCCTTTTGCATATTGCATGACTAATATGTAATCATCTAATTCAGGATCTTTTGTAAAACCATAGGTTTTAACAATATGATGCTTAATTTGATAACAATATTGATTTGATTTTAACTATAAAATTCATGATAATAAATTAGTTTATTCATAAAACTTTAATAGAAAGAGTAAATGTAAGATAACATTCACCTCATTTAAAAAATGTTTGTCAATATCTTTAGAATTTATAAATCTTTTTAAAATGACTGTTTCATTTTTACTTCTATATCTATCAACTTTATCACGATATTTATTGATGTAAGATGAACCATCTAACCAATCTGCTTGATATATAATACCAAATCCTCCTTTCGCTATTTCTTTTATATTCGTAAATTGAGAATATGGTATCCATTCCATTGATAGTTTAACATCTTTATAAATAGAATCACATATATCATATGGTTCAAAATATTTATCAATACCTTTAACTTTATCAGCAAATTCGGTTATTTTCAAATTATTGTGAATATCAAGCCTCAAATTGGAAAGTAAATCATCTAAATAATTATTTCCGACGCTAATGTTATTGATATCAAAATTAATAGATGATACTCTTTTGCATTTTTTACATTGAGATTGAATTGTAGGTCCAAAAATAACATTTGTTGTTAGACAATATCTACATCCGGTATAAAATATAAGACAATTTGTACAATACTTTTGACAATCTGATATAAATGTTAAGGATATTTTACAAGCATCACAATGAGTTATATTATGCCACCATGGTAAATAAATAATTGGAATAGGTTTTTCGGTTAAAGTTGATTCTATATACCCAGAAGAAATTAGATAACAATCTGAACACAACCTTAAAAAACCATAAATTTCTTGATATAATGATTTTCCACATAGTTTACAATGTCTTTCACTTTGGGCCATATTTGTAAATAAATTACGAAAAGATTCAAAAGATATGTATAATGTACCCGCATGTATTTGTTTAAAACATAAAATCTCCAAGCAGTTTCTACAGCATTCTTGAATATTTTGTGGTTCATACATTCTATTTATTTCATGTTCACTACATTCCAAGTTCTTTGTATATAAGTATAAGTCTAAGTAAATATTATTATCATTTATATCAGTGATATAACATGATAAACATTTTATGCAATATTTCTGTTGACATAAAATCGCCGTAATGTATCTTCCTCCACAATAAATACACTCTTCATCATTCTTATTAAATGAAACGAACAAGATCGGTATGGGACTAGATTTTAATCTTGGCGTTGGGTCAAAATAATTTTCATCATAGATTTTTATAATATCCATATTATTGTTATAGGTAATTACTGAGAATTCTACATATTTATAGTTTTGATTATTTCATAGGGTTAAATAGAACTTTCCGTTGGCGTACTGTTGGTGTTATTTCGTATGCACGGAATTTAAGAATTTTCCATAGTATAATTATATTGAGGAGTACATACGGTACTACAAGTACGTTTGTGCGTATTGTTGGCGCTAATAGAAAAATATTTCGTATGCACGGAATTTAAGAATTTCCCATAGTATAATGGAAGCAATTATATCGAAGATGGAGTACAATCGCAAGGAGTGTTACGATAACATGTAGTGCAAGAGTATACGGTACTACAAGTACGTTTGTAAAACTTGAACTTTTTCTTTTATTTGTTTTATGAGCCGATCATTATTTGTAGTCTGTACTCATACCCCTTGTACTACTATTTTGATACTCTTCCGGCTACCGTTTTGGTCTTTGTAATTTTATGTGAACGTTATAAAATAAAATCAAGAGTGGAAGTTTGACAATCATTTAATAATATAATTATAAAAAAATTCAAATAGAGAATGACACTTCGTTATAGAAAAAATTTGTAATTTCAAGAAAATTATTCCCATTATTTGTGTTGCACACACAGTATAATAGCTGAAAAGACTTTCTGAAGTAGAAATTCCATATAAATACAAACTTACTCGTTTATATATTTGGGAAAGAGATTCACGTATTACATATTAAGAAACTTTGTTACAAACTTACAATAATAGTAACTGTTTGTACAATGTATGAATATAAAGTTACTATCATACAACTGATTTGCAATATTTCTTTTCTTGAAGCTCTAATGAAAGTAAATTATTTAATTATTGCTTTATACCGAATTTAATTAAATATATCCTAATAACTAATTAATATAACTAATATCAATATTTTTATAAGAGCTTTAAACTCAAATATCCAATTATTAGGTTGATGACGATATATTTTTTTTTCTTTAGCGAGAATAGCGTGTGTTAACATTAAATATTAAGTTTTGATATATTGCTTTAGTACAAATTTCAGGTGTAGCTCTCAGTATCATACCTTATTACTTCCTTAGATTCTTGCAAATATAGTTCTTTATGTCGTTTATTATAAGTAAATGTGATATCAGATTTCTTCAAATTATTTGTTACTTTTTGTTATATAATTTTAATTTCTGGATGAATATTTTTATTTCGAATTTTTTTTATTTTGCATTCTAATAAATAATTTTTAATGCATGTGATGAATAAACAATTAACAGTATCATGCTTTTAGAAAATAAAATTAATAAACGAAAAATGATTTAAGTATCAATAGCCCTATAAAAAATTTTTATCCAAATATTTCCATTATTTCTCCGTGTCTTCCGTAAAAATTCCGTGAAAATGATACATTCACGGATATCCGTGTTAGCGAGATGAAAATTTCCATGATTTAAGGCTATAAATTCCATGAAAATGATACATTCACGGAAAAAACATGGAAAGATAAAACACGGATCAGATTTTTTACAGGGTAGTTGATTGATCAATTAATCACTCAAACACACTACTGTATTAATTATAAGAATCACGGGACAATGTTCGAAAAGTTATAACGCGATTGGTTACATAAACTAAAATCAACTGCGCCACACCTGTTTTTATTACCAAATATTTCTAGTCCAAATTTATTCAAATTAAAAGAACCCGATCTCATGATAATCCCAATTTGTAATAAATCTATTTTATACACTATGAGATTTTTTCTCATGGAGTAATTCCGTTTTCAAGCGTGAGGCGTGCAGACGAAATGTTTACATCATTTATGATTGACAATACAATAAATGTGGTATCGATAAAATTTCTTTTTTTATCATATTGTTAAAATTTCAACTTCGTTTATCAAAAATGACTTCAAAATCCAATTCGAGCCTTTCAAAAGATCTTTCATTAATGTTAAATGATTCAGATGATTATAATGTAATCATTTATGTTGGAAAAAATCCAAATATAAAAGAATTTCGTGCACATACAAATATTCTTAGAGCTCGTTCTCCTTATTTTAAAGGTGCTCTCTCAAATTTATGGATAAGAAACAGGAATAATGATAATATGATTGAGTTCAAAAAACCAAATATTAATCCTGATGTTTTCGAAATTATACTCGAGTAAGTATAATAAATTCTAGTTAAATAAGTTAATTTTATTTATTATTATTATTATTATTATTATTATTGAAATTAAATTTTCTTTTCTTTTCGAAAATGATAAAGGTATATATATACAGGTGAAGTAAATTTAACCAAAAAATCAGGAGAAAATATTCTTGCATTATTAATTGCATCTGATGAATTACTTCTTGATGAATTATTTGAATTAGTTCAAGATTATTTAATTAAAAGATCAATTTGGGTCGAACAAAATTTCGTTCTTGTTCTTCATACAATCTATAAACTTTCTAGATGTAAGAAATTACAAGACCATTGTATTGAATCTATTTGTGCAGATCCACAACTATTTTTTACTTCAAAAGACTTCCTCTCGTTAGATAAAGGTATTCTTTATTATTTGCTTAAACGAGATGATTTGGCAATTGAAGAAATTATTTTGTGGGAATATTTAATTGATTGGGGTACTATGCGAAATCCTAGTTTGAGACATAGGAAGAATCGTAAAACCAAATGGTCTAATATAAATTTTGAAACATTAAAGGAAACGTTAAGTAGATTTATTCCTCTTATTCGATTCTCGGGAATTAGTTCAGCTGATTTTTTTGATAGAGTACGTCCATTTAAACCCATTATTCCTAATTATATTTATGAAGAAATTATGGAATATCATATGAAAAATGCTTTACCAAAAACGACCTTTTTACCTCCACGAACTGGTAATATTCAAAAAATTGAATCATTTATTATCAGGCAAAAACAATTGAATATAATTATCAATTGGATTGATAAAAAAAATTCAGATTATAATCGTAATAAAGTGGATGGATTTTATAATTTTAACCTTATTTATCGTAAAAGTCGTGATAAAAATGACGAAATTCGAGATAGATTTGCTGATAAAGGACCTGTATTAATTTTAATCAAAGAATTATCAGGAAAAATATTTGGTGGATATAATCCTATTGGTTGGTGTAAGAATATTCGCAATAAATATTTATCCACTAAGGAAAGTTTTATATTTTCGTTTGAAAATAATGAGGATACTAAAGAGATGGAAATTGAAATTGGTCGTGTAATTAATTCATTATACGCTATCTATGATTATTCAAGGAATGCAGTTAACTTTGGTAAAGGTGATTTAAAATTGAAATATGATAAATTAACCTCATCTGATGGTGGTGTTTATGGACACTTAAAAAAAAATAATAATAGAGATGAATATGAAGTTGAAGAGATCGAAGCTTTCAGCGTAAGTATAACACTTTAGTTTTAGGCGCCTATCTGATTTTTATTAGATTTTAACTATTTAGTAATACAATTATATATTTGAATTAAGCAAATGTTTTATTTAAGTTGTAGATGTATAAAGTATGTAGTGTCTACTAAATTAAAATTTTAATAAATTCGTCTGCAAACTTGCTTTCATTTTCGTCAATAAGTATTGATTTTTTTAACAAACGGTTTGAGAACCTTACGTTTTACTATCCGTTATAAGTTTATTTGAGCATGATGCTGATTTTAATATTTTTATATTTACCAAAATACTATCCAATAGAAGACAAAGCTTTTCTAATATAATTATTAATTGATTAAAGGGAAAGATTCATAAATTTTATAGATATGGCCGAGTCATGATAGAAATAAAAAAAATGGGGATACAGTAGATTTTATCTCGGCTACCTTTATAAATAATATCAAACTTGTATGGTGAATCTATTAATATACTGATTCGTTTAAGAGCGATTGCTGAATGTGCTTTAGAAATTTTCTTGTATTGTTATTTTCGCCAATTTGAATAATAATCTGCATCCTAAAATCGGTTGGTTTTGTGAGTAAACCCCGTACTGCTTAATCAGTTTAAATATAACCAAATTAAATATTCTGAATGTTATTAAGAATGATTAAACAAAAACAGATCCTATAAGAATAATACTTAGCCTTTGTCGTCTTTATTATAGTACTACATATAAAATTCAAACATGTATAAACAAAATTGTCAGCCCAAAAATGCGAAAAATAGGTTTAACCTACCCACTTGTTCAATAACATAACATATTTCTAAAAAAAAACCAATTTTCGAATTTTTAATAAAAAAAACTATTTTTCATTTTTATTTAAAATATGAATTCTAGACATTTTTATAATTTATTTAAAGAATGAATATTAGACTTTGTTTTTATTTTTTGTTTAAAAAAAAAAAAAAAAATCTGGTTTTTTAATAAAATGAGTGAGTTTTTTTAAAAAAAAGCGATTTAAATTTTTTTTTTTAAAATAAAAACTCTGAAAATTGGTTCCATTAAGAAAGTTTTGAAAAAAACATTTTTGATAAAAAATCGATCTATATATATTATAATATCATAAAAGAAAATTTTAAAAAAGGAAATCAAAATTTCAAAATTTCGATTTTCATAATTTTGTCACTTTTGGTCCCAACGGTACAGTGTTTACACTTTGAATTATAAAAGTACTTTGAATTACAAAAGAAATGAAATGATAAATGAAATTGGGATTAAATACAAATAAATTTCTTAGAAGTCAATACAAATTGAACTCTAAAATACTAATTCGAAGCCATTTGATTTCTATCAGTAATATTTTTCTTAAAAAAAATTGAAGGATCGGTGTAATGATATTACGTATCAAAGTTCACGTGATTATTTACAAGTTTATTCTCAAATAGCCGCTTTTAATAAAAAAATTGGTACGAAGAATTCTTAATAGTTTCGTTTGCATGATTTCCTTATATAATCCGAAAACGAAAAATTTTATTACGGATAGATTATATTTAGGGTTTTGCTAAAATTATTAATGAACATAAAAATTACAAAAAAGAAATGTTACTTACGCAACGTATTCATACCCTATTTTAAATTCAATAAATAATATCATAATTTTATTTTTTAACTACACTGAATACTTCAATCTCTTCAATAATAAGTGTTTTTCTTTCACCAAAAATATTCTCATAATAGTTGTTATCAAACCCAACATGAAGATTTTGTCCTTTAATAAATAAAATATTTCCAAAATTAAAGAAATTACTATAATTGTAAGCTTCATAAACAGAACAGGATGAATTAGTTACCCTACCAATTTTCATATTATGTATATCTTGATCATTTTCAAAAGAAAAGACAAAACTTTCTGTTGATGTTAACCATTGACTCAATTTACCATAACCTCCCGCATATCCAATTGGATTATAACCACCATAAATTTTCTTTGATTGAACTCTTATTAATACTACAAATGGTCCTTGTCCATTACATTTATTATAAAATGCCACGTTGTTAAGTCCATCACGACTCATCAAGTAAATAAGATTAAACTTATGTTTACTGTTATCTGCAAAAGGTGAGCTATTTCTATCAAACCAATTAGAAATAATATTTGCAAGCTTCGGTTTAATAATCGTTGATGTTAATGATCCTGATTTTCCTGTACGAGGTGGCAAGGTCGTGGTTTTTGGTAAAGCTTTTTTATAATAGAATTCTTCTAATTCTTCATAAATATGATGGGGAATAATAGTTTTATAAGGACGAACTTTATCAAAAAAATCATCAGAAGAAATTTCCACAAACCGAATTAGAGGAATAAATTGGTTCAAAGTTTTCTTTAATGCTTTATAATTTTCTTTATTCCATTTGGTTCTATCACTATTCTTACTTCCTAAACCAGGTGTTTGTTCAATACCCCATTTAATTAAATAATCCCAAGCGACAACTTCTTCAATCTGTAAATCATCTCGTTTAAGTAAACCAAAAAGGATATCCTTATCTAACGAAGGAAACATTTTTGAAGAGATGAATGGTTTCGGATCTTCACAGATAGATTCAAGACAATAATCTTGTAATTTCTTGCAACTAGTGAGTTGAAACACAGTGTGGAGAACAAGAACAAAATTTTTTTGAACCAAACTAGTTTGTTTTTCGATTAAATAATCTTGAACATGGTTAAATAGTTCATCGATAAGTAATTCATCAGATGAAACTAATAAACCGAGAATATCTTCACCCGATTGTTTAGTCAAATCAAGTTCGCCAGTATAAATATATCTTAATAAATAATAAAATAAGTTTTTTTTTTGAAAAGAAATTTTAAATTTAAAATTTAAATACTTTAATTTAATAATTCTTGCTTACTTTAAAACCACTTCAAAAACAGTTGGAGCAATATTTGGTTTATTAAATGTAATCATGTTATTTTTCTTTGAAATCCAACCGGAAGAGAAGGCACTTTTAAAATAAGGGGAACGAGCACGTAAAATTACTGAATGAGCACGAAATTCTTTTGTATTTTGGTTTTCACCAACTTGAATAATAACGTTAAAATCATCAGCATCATATAATATTGATGAAAGATCTTTTGAGAGACCGGAATGGAATATTGAGGTCATTTTTAAAGAAAGAATTATGAGTTTTTTTGTCAATGAAAATAATGGATTTTATAATTATTTGGCTACACTGCATTATTTGTGAAACCAAAGATCAACATCACCGGTCCGAAAATTAACCGGTTAAACTTAATTCGGGCCGGAATTAGATATTCAGCCAGTGTTAACATCTTCCTTAATTCTGGCCGAATTACAAATTAATGTCAGATTTTGTTTGTTTAGTAAACATGATAGTTTTCATCAAATATTTCCTAAATTTTAATTAAATTAAAATATCATTACTTCTACTTTCAATAAAAGTATAACTCGTGTTTTGGTATGTATGATTAGTAAGGAATGATGTATATGAATTGAATAAGAGACATAATTGAGTTAACATTTATAAATATTTTAATATCATGATGAATAAATTCATGAAAGTTTTCGTGGTTCAACTTAACTTTCGGTCAATAGTAAACTGTAATAATCTATCATTTTCATTAATTTGAATTATCTAAACTCTTGTTTCAAATATTTCATGTAAATTAATGTTTTCTTTATGTTCTCCAATATCGCATTTCATAATAAATTTTATACCTTGGAAATAATCGATTCCGAAATCTACGTGCTGATACTGTTTAGTCGTGTAGTCGATGTTATTATCAGAGAAACTTCTTATGTATCGGCTTGATTATTTCTTATTTAGTTGGGATGTTTTATGTTCAACTATTAGCGGAAGTACTTTTTTTAAGTATTGGCGTAATTATTAAACATTTCACCATAGAAGATAATGATGGAAACAAAATAACTATGGATGAAAAGTAATTATTGTCTAAATAAATAAAGTCAAAAAATAATTTTGTACGATTAAGTGGCTTGTGTATAATGATTTCATTCCGAAGTTTGTACAATGCAATATTTCAACATAAATATTTATTATAAAACAAATTATGAAAATTCTTATATAAAGTTTTTGAAACTTTCCGAATGTTAACTGTTTTATGAAAACGTGAAATAAACAAATTTCAGTCGACTAATTAAATAACAAGTTACACAGAGCAAATTTTTTGAAGGTAAGGTGTACAATATAATTTTTTATTCTATATATTTTGAATATTTGAAGGATTTTAAGATTGTTTTATGAATATATTTATGTATGTATAATGTTTACCAGGGTATATTAATTTATAGACTCCAAAAATTAAGATTATATAGAAAAGATGTTATGTATAGACACCTATGTATGTAGTGTATAGTGATGTGCACTATACGTTGATTTTGTGATTGTACGACATGACAAACATATTTTTTGTACGTATGTACACTAACCATACGTAATTGTTATATGTATATATAAATGTATCCAGTGGCGCAGCATATGTGAACCGGCAAATTTTGCAAACAGGGCCGTTTTACGGCGTTATGCACTAACACGTGAAAACAAAGTGACGAATAAAGGCGTGACGAATAAGTTTTTACTCACTCGAAAAAAACTAAGTCCCTCAGATAATTATAAACAGTGAAACAAGGCTCGGGCGTGACGATGTGATGAATTAAAAATAGATCACGTGACTGTGCAAAAATTGCCGGTGCGGCTGGGCTAGTACTAGTGTAGACAGTTACTGCGGCTGCGCCTTATCATTTGTATTTACGTGCGTTTGGTCTCTTATTTCATTCATACGTACGTACGTTTTGATTTAATTAATATTATTATTATTTATTTGCCATGTATGTATGTGCAGTACACTCAGTGCAACCATACGTACATAGCAAAAGATCGCCATACGCTACACACAAGGGTCTCTATACGCTACATGTTTCCTAATTGCCCAAAAATTAATATTGGTTTTATACTTTTTATTTTTTAGATACCTTACATCGTAATTTGAATGCTTAAATACTTAATTCTTAAGGGTATTGTATTGTTAATAAAAGACTTCCGTTTTCTATATAAAAAATAGAAATTTTTTAATTGCCCAAGTGTTTTCTTTTTTTCATATAATAATATTACAACTTTGGAAAAAATAAATTATTTTATATTTTATATTACAAACAATAGAAAGATATTTATTTTTCTTTATTTTTATTTTTTTTTGTTTCTTTTTCCTTATCTCGTTCGTCCATTCGTCACGTTAAAATCTTTATATGTTAACAATATTCAATTGTAAACATCAAGAATATGGGATTTTTTTATAACTAATAAAATATTTGAGGTTATAAAAATTAATTATGAATTATTTGTAACAATGAATTTTCGCTTTGCCTTCATAACAAATTTTATTTTTAATTCAAAAAAAACGACTGAAAGACAAATTGCATATAATATTTTTCTGGAAAAAAAGAAAATGTCTTATTTATATCTTTTGAATTTGTGAGCTGTGATTTTTTTATTTTTTATTTATTTATTTTTTTATTGTTCTTTCACACATTGCAGATTAACCCTGAAATTCCTCAAAATTTACGACAATCCAGCTGGATTATGTAATGAAAATGCAAGAGTTTTTTTTGAAAAAAAATTACCGAATCGATTTTAAATGTGTGAGATTTGATAAATTATTTCAAAAAAAAAAAGATGAGGCTCCGAAACTTATTAGCAGTTAAAATGTTATATTTGTTTAATAAAATGCAAAAATTTGTCAAGGACAAGGTTATAGTTAAATATTATTATAAATTATAACACGCACATTGATCTTGAAATTATTTTATTCGCAATTTTATTAATAATTATAACATGAATAATAAGTCAATTTCAACTAATCTAATTAAACAGTGGAAGAAATTGTCATTTAATCAGTTTTAAAAAAATTAAATCTTCAACACTAGTGTAGATTACTATTTTTTATAATAAATTATTAAATTTAATTTGTTTATTTCGTTAAAATATTGTTATTAACAAAAATCTTTGTTTCATCGTTTTACTACTTTAAAAGCTTCAATATCTTCGATTATAAAAATACCAGAACTTATGTTATATACACAAAAATCACCATCAGCAAGAAGTAATTCATTACCACACATAATTAAATCAGCTCCGAAATTAAACCCATAATAATTTGTTTCGTCATAAAAATTATTATAAACAGCATATTTAAAAAAATTTTCACTTACCCGACTTAATTTCATATCTTCATCTTCTTCAAAATGAAATATAAAACTATCAGTTGAAAAAATAAAACGATCATAATAATCAATATCATCGATGTCCTCTACGTCTTCCACAAAATGATAAAATCCAACTGGAGTATAACCACCAATTATTTTTTGTGAATCTTGACATTTGATTAAAACTAAAATTGGTTCTTGTAAGTTACACTTATTTTTAAATGACTCATTACTGATTCCATCTCGGCTACCTTGATAAATAAGTTCAAACTTATATAATGAATCATTATTATCACGGATAAAATCTTCATCTTTTTTATCGATCCAATTAATAATTATAGAAATAAGGTGTGGTTTAATAATATTCGATTCAATGCGATCTCGTGGAGGTAAAGTGATTGTTTTTGGTAAGGTACCTTTAATATAAAATTCTTCAATTTCTTCATAAATATCGTTAGGAATAATAGCTTTATATGGTTGAATTTTATTAAAATATTCAGTAGATGAAAAATCCACAAATCGAATAAGAGGAATAAATTGTTCCAAAGTTTTCTTTAATGCATTATAATCCTCATTATTCCATTTTGTTCTATCATTATTCATACTTCCCAAACTAGGAGTTTGTTCAATTCCCCATTTAATTAAACAATCCCAAACATCAATTTCATTAATCTGTAAATCATTACGTTCAAGTAAATAATGAAGAATATCTTCATCTAACGATAGGAAGTTTTTTGAATTAAATAATAGTTGTGGTTTTGCACAAATAATATTAAGGCAAAAATCTTGTAATATTTCGCAGACTAAAAGTTCAAAAACAGTATGAAAAATGTGATCAAAATTTTCCTGAATCCAAGTTGTATGATTTTTAATTAAATATTCTTGAACAGGTTCAAATAGTTCTTCAAGGAGTAATTCATCAGAAGTAATTAGAAGTTCAAATATGTCCTTGTCTAGATGATTTTCCAAGTCAAGTTCACCTGTGTAAATATATCTTAAAGAAAGTGAATAATTATAATAAACTAATTGATAGAATATAGAATTAAAAAAGTAAAACTTACTTTAAAATTATATCAAAAACTATTGGAGTAATATTTGGTTTATTATAATGGAGCATACCATCTTTTTTTGTTACCCACTCAGTCGAAAGTGCACTTTTAAAATATGCAGATCGAGCACGTAAAATTACCGAATGCGCTCTAAATTCATTTATATTATCATTTTCGCCAACTTGAATAATAACGTCAAAATCATCTGCATCATTTAATAATGAAGAAAAATCTTTTGAAAGGCGGGAATGAAATATTGAAGTCATTTTATAATAAAATAAGGTTTGAACCAAAAAGAGGATAAAATTTTTAAATGTAAATCATATTTATATATTTATGTTAATGGAAGTAGTACAAATTCAGCCGTAATCATGTGGTTACAAATTAGTCATCGGCCTTTTTGTCAAACATCAAAAAATTGGATCATCCACGAAATAAGTATTTTTGGTCTAGACAAAATAAAATGATTCGTATCTGTCAAACTGTCGAAATAGTTCAGTATTCATTCATTCATTCATTCATTCATTCATTTAAGCAATTAGTAATCAGCATTGGGACTATACATGTTGCCGAAACTTGGCAATTTCGGAATAATTTCAGGATTCGGTCTTCGGACAATCATTCAAAACGAAACTCCAGTCGAAAGTCGAAAGTTGGGCCGAAATTTTCTGGCCAGCATTATGCGTTTTAGCCCGCATTATAAATGTCCTTTCCCGGTGGCTAAACTTTTTCTGGTCCAGCACTAAAAATTTGCCCAGAATTATAAAATAGATTCGGCCAGAGTTTCGTTTCAGATTTCGGAACTTTTCGGATTCGGCTACATGTATAATTGGGACCGTTTACAATTTTCGTATATTTTCATCAGGTCACATAATTTCCTCAATTCTCCTTTGGTTTTATTTTATATTTGTGAGCATGCCTTTTACTTTTTAATTATGATAATTAAAGATTTTATGAGCCTATCGCGTAACTTTCATCATTCTTTCTTTAGAATTGGAAAGAATGATTGAAAATAAGTTGAAATTTAAACAGATTTTTACTCTCTTTCATAACATTTTTTTTTTTTTTGCCAAAATTAGCTCTTGTAAGTTACACTTATTTCTACACGATTCAACTAGATATTGCAAAAGAAATATAGTTTTATTATCGAAAAGTTCATAGTTTTATTTAAAACCTATGAAAATGACAAATAAAGATAAATCATTAAATTTAAAATTATTCTTATTCACATTTACTGATTTACATCAGGTTAAATAGAATAATTTACAGTAAATATTCAACATTTATTATCAAAATTATGATAAAAAAAAAAATAATTAATATGATACCTCTACCTTTAAACAATATTTATTGCAAATGATACAGTATGAAAATTTTCAAAGTTAAAACTGTAGCTTTTCTAATAGATATCTAATAATGAATGTCAGAGAAATTTTACATCCTTTAATTTTCATACCCTTCTAATAATAAAATATCTGAGACATATATATTATTTTACACCTTTACACCTTTTAAATTTTAATAAAAGAAATTCGTATCCCATATAATAAATTTTAAAGGAATTTTACTAAACGACTTATGTTAAAATGTTATCATACGATTTAATATCAACTTCTAAATGTTTTTATGATGGCATCAGCTAGAATGGGACGAAATTATCTATTCAATTGAAAAATAAAATTTTGCTTTTTATTTAGTCCACGGATAATCATCCAGTATAGAATGTATAGACTAAATACTCGTTACTATTATACTGCGAGTGTCCAGGACTTCTACTGTGTAACTTTCCTGGAAGGCGGTAAAATCAGGAATTCAATAAATGGACATTCTAACAGTAAATAAATTACGATTCATTATAATCAAGTATTAATAATTTTTTGCATAATAAAATGCCAGCCTAATTAATTAGCCTTTCCTTTAAGAAGGTCAGGAATAGAAGGCTTTTTGTTAAAAATAATTATATTTGTAATTTTAGTCAGAATTAAGGCTAAATTAAGGTTTATTACATTATATGATCTTTGTTTATTGGTTCGCAAAATGCACCTAATAAATTTTAGGCGTTTATCAAATATCCGATAAAGGTAGACTGTTGTCTATTGTTACCTAAAATTTCAACCAATATTTTTTTGATAATGGTTTCAAATTTTAATCGAACCTTTTAAAAGACTTTTCATTAATATCAGATTGTTCACGATCATATCATTTGTGATTATTCAAGTTGAAGACACTCAAATAACCTTATAGCTCGTTCATCTTATTATGCATTGTCAACCGTATGAAGACAATATGATTGAGTTCAAAAACCAAAAATTAATGTCTTCGAAATTATACTCAAGTAAGCAATGTAATGTGATAATATGGATTTTTTTTTATAACAAATAATTTTATTATTCTTAAATTTTCTTTTTTCAAAAATAATCAGATAAATTAGTTCCGACCATTTAAGCATATTATCCCAATCATATTATAAATTTTATATGAAAAATACCTTACCAAAAACGATCGTTTTACCTCCACGTATATGAGGACCTCGAGTTATATATATATAGGTCAGGCACACATTTTATTAGCTCTACGCATTCCTTCAGGGCCGGCACTATGTAATGCTGGTCAGCTTTATTCACAAATGGAAGCGATTTACATGATTTTTGGATTTATTCTAAGCAAATAACCAGAACCTGACCTTTCTATGTGTGGCTCGACTGGCTCATGGTCCTCGTATATGATCGTATATGAAAGATAATAATATTAAAATATAGAATTAAGTCGGTTGATTTCTGGCCAAGTCATTTATTACAATGAGTTCAGTAGCTTATATGGATTTGTGTTATATCTCAGTATGTAAAATAATTAACATGTTGATAATAATGGTTCCTGTGAAAATGATATAAGTTGTAACGATACTTATACGATAAAGGAGGTTGAAGCTTTTAGAGTATTGAAGCAGTAAGCTAAAACAAGTAAGTCGATATTTTTCTAATGTTTATCATAACAATTACATTAATGTACAATACAAGTACTGTAAATAAAATATTCATTATGTCGATATATTTTTAATTACTAAAAAAATTTTTTTTGATGGTAATTTTGAAAAGTTTCGATAAAATTCTAAACGAAAATAATAATTGACTTAATATTAATCTTAAATTTAAAATTTTTTTAAGAATTATTAACCAAATACAGATTATAAATTTTTTTTCGCTCCGCAACTTTTCATTACTATTATTAAGTATCAGCTAGATCAAGAAAAAAGTCGCTGTAAGTTAACCTTATTTGTCGAAGTGTCCGTAAAGGAATAAACTTTACCTATAATTAAGTGACGAATTCATAAAAGATATTGTTGTAATATTGGTTTAATAATTCCAATTAAATTTTTCTACGGATTATGATATAATTTGTTGATAGCTAATTAAACGATTATAAATTGTTTTTGAACTTATAAATTAAATAAATTATGAAGTTTATTATTACTAATTTTTTTTTTTTTTTTTTGAGACATATTTAAACATTTTTGTGGCGATCAAATAATATACACCAACAATAATTTATCTCTGGCGTTAGATTCATTGTACTTTTCGTATAAATTTCGTGCGGTATTTTGAGATCATTGAATATCTATATGATCAATTTTACTTAAATTAGAATAGTCCAATATCAGGATATTATTAATTTATTAACTTAGTAAAGGAAAGTCGGATGTCGATCTAACCATTATTTGTTGCGGGCTTTTAAGTAAGCCTAAAGCCTTGTTACCCATATGGGCTGATTGGAAAAATAAAGCCAATTAATATTTAAGTTCAGTTGATGGGTTCAATAACTTATTGTCATTAGCATATAAAATTATTGGCTTTTCTGATCAGCCGATATGCTTGTTATCTAATTTTAGCAACTTTTTTTCATTTTTCTCAAGACTGATTAAATATATCGAAGCGTAGTAAAGAAAAAAATAAATGGCTTCAAAATTTCATTCAGGCCTTTCAAAAGATCTTTCATTAATGATAAATAATTCAGACGATCATAATGTAATAATTCAAGTTGGAAAAAATCGAGAATTTCGTGCACATTCATATATTCTTATATCACGTTCTCCTTATTTTAAAAGTGCATTTTTAAAAAAGGAGTTTCAGACAACTTTTATAGTTTCAGAAGACGGATTTATTACTAATGATAATGTGATGAAGTTCAAAATACCATATATTAATCCTATCGTTTTCGAAATAATTCTCAAGTAAATAATTTTTCAATTAAATAAACGTTAATTTTAATTTTTATTGTATATCATGTCCTTAATTTCTTCCTTTCTCAAAAATTAAAGGTATATATATACAGGTGAAGTAGATATAACAGGTCAATCGCGCCTAATAGTATTCGAACTTTTAGTTGCATCAGATGAATTACTCCTGGAAGAATTATTTGAACATGTTCGAGATTATTTAATTGAGAAACAAGCAATTTGGATTCAGGAAAATTTTGTTCTCGTCCTTCGTACCGTATTTAAACTTGCGAGCTATAAGAAACTGCAAAATTATTGCATCGAAACTATTTGTGCAGATCCACAACCTTTTTTCACTTCAAAAAACTTCCTCTCATTAAATAAAGTTAGTCTATATAATTTGCTTAGGCGAAATGATTTGCAGATTGATGAAATCGATATTTGGGATTGTTTAATTAAATGGGGCATCGGACAAACTCCTGGTTTTGGGATTAGGAATAGCGATAGAACCATGTGGAATAAGAAAAGTTATGAAGCATTAAAGAAAACATTAAATCACTTTATCCCTCTTATTCGGTTTGTTGAAATTTCTTCTAACGATTATTTTGATAAGGTCCGTCCTTATAAAGCTATTATTCCTGATCGTATTTATGAGGAAATTGAAGAGTTTTATTTTAAAGGTACCTTACCAAAAAAAACCACACTACCTCCACGAACAGGAATGATTAAAATGATCGAATCAAATATTATCAAACCAATATTAACTTTTATGATTACCAATTGGATTTAGAGGTTGGAACCGATTAACGTTAATCGATTAATTAATCGGTTAAGGCGGTTAATCGGTTAGAAGTATCAAAAAATCGGTTAATCGACTAAATTAACCGACTAAATTAACCGATTAATTAACCGATTAATTTAGTCGGTTAAAATACTATGCAGATCATTTTCTCAAATTAGATGATTTTTTATCCCGAAATTCAGATAAGAAGTTTTTTTAATATACAGTATTGACAAACTTGTCAAAAAAATAAACCCATTTAAACTTTTTATAAATATATCGATTATAGGCCTATTGAAAATGAATCTCTATCTGGTCATTTATTATATATTTTTTTGTAACATATTTAAATGCTTTTATAAGTATTTATTTTTATTTAAAGTTATTTATGGCGCAGCTAAATGTCATGTGATATATATTATGCAAAATATTGGCGGAATAAAAATATCAACAACATTCCTAAAAACTTGCAATTCAATTCCACTATTATTAATATTGTTAATTTCCCATTTAATTAAACCTTGAATTAAAGTCAGTTCTCATTTCCCATTAAAATTTGATATAACTTTTTGAAATAATACATGTATATTATTCATATAGGGATGCAAAATTTATATATTAACCGATTAATTAATCGGTTAACCTCATCACAAATTAACCGATTAATTAACCGATTAATTAACCGATTATTATTCGGTTATGGTAACTGATTAATCGATTATTAATCGGTTAAGGTTTTTTTGGTCGGTTCCAACCTCTAAGTATAATTTCATCCAAGCGTTTATAATTTTAATGTGGTTAATGTGAATAACATAACAGTCTATACAAGAAGATTATATTTATGTTTTACAGATGTCATTAATTCATTAAAAGAAAATTTATGTTTTAATCATTTAAAAAAAAATTAAAAAAAAACTCAACCGATCTCTTGAGTGGCTCAACTATACTCTCTGTTGCATATTAATTAGAAAATACAAATTAGAATTGACAAATGGAAATAAAATAGACAGTATTTCTTTATTATTTAGGTAATATTTATTTCTTTTAAAATGACTTTATTAATTGCGTAATCACTTCGCTAATATTATCAATGAAAAGCTCCAGCTAGTTCTTTTATGAATCTTATAGTATAAGAAACTATAGTTAAGTAAATTAAGTAAATAAATGTAATTAAAATTTTAACTTAAAAAAATCCTCTATTGACTTTTATTTATCTTGAAAATTAGAACATATCATCCATTTAAAAAGTATTTAATTGATCAAATGACACGCGATTGCTGGCTATCCTGTTGTAAACGACTAACCACTTATAGTATGATTTTCGTGCAACATAAAATACTTCCAAATACAAAAAAGAACTTTTCTGTAGTACTAAGGTAAATTCTTAAATTCTATCATATGAGAATTCTAGAATATTTTTCCATAACACCAACGGAAAATTTTATTTTTTTAACTCCTTGAAATAATCTGATAAAAAACTATAAATATAGGACCCCGAAATATATATAAAAAGGTAAGGTGACCTTCGAACTTTTTACTAATAGCTGTACGCAAGGGTTTTCTATAAGTTTAGTACGCAAAATTACCTCCTTACTTTGAATAATTGGAAAAAATACGCAAATTAATTTACTAACCACCGATAATCATGTGACTTACTGTACATATTGTTTTGTTGATCAAACTTCACGTTTATCGAAGAATTATTTTTTTAAAAAAATTTAATAACTTTATATGTCACATAATTATATAAATGTATTTATTAATGCACAAGCATTACACATCTTTTTGCACTAAATAAAGTTTTTTTGCACTAATAGTTATTTATATTTATTTTTATTTATTTCAATGAAATATATTAATATAATATATGATCAGTCAAATTACTAAAAATACGCAAAATAAACCCTTACTTAAACAAAAAACCTGTTAAAAATACGCATTTTAATAGTCTGACCGTGGCTAAAAAATCCTCAGGTTGTACGCAAATCAATACCTAACCCCATAAAATTTCTCTATGCTGGCGACGCAATTATGCACCTTACCCCTACATATATATTTCGGGGTCCTATAAATATGGTGAATTTCAATATTTGCTCATAACATAACAAAATGGAACTCATAAATGCAAATGACAAATATTTTTTTGACCCAACGCCAAAATTAAAATCTAGCCCCATACCGATCTTGTTTGTTTCATTTAATAAGAATGATAATAAGTGTATTTGTTGTGGAGAAGAATATATTGAGGCGATTTTATGTAACCAAAAATATTGCAAAAAATGTTTATCATGCTATATTAATAACATTGATGATGATAGTATTTACTTGGACATATATTTATATACAAAGAACTTGGAATGCAGTGAACATGAAATAAGTAGAGAAAATGAACCGCAAAATATTCAAGAATGCTGTAGACACTGCTTGGAAATATTGTGGTTTAAACAAATGCCTGTAAGTTTTTATAAATTCATGCATCCCACTGATTTATATTATAATTTACGTGAAAATGTAAACGAAAGTGAAAAATATTGTAAACTATGCGGAAAATCATTGCATCATCTAAGTAAATATAGTGGTTGTCTCAAATTGTGTTCAGATTGTTATCTAATTTCTTCTGGATGTGTAAAATCAACCTTAACTAAAAAACCTATTCCAATTATTTATTTACCATGGTGGCATAATATACCTTATTGTGATGCCTGTGAAATATCTTTAACATTTACAACAGACCATCAAAAGTATTGTACAAATTGTCATATATTTTATATTGGTTGTAGATATTGTTTAACAACAAATGTTATTTTTGGACCTACAATTCAATCTCAATGTAGAAAATGCAAAAGAGTGTCCTCTATTATTTTTGATATCACAAAAATTAACATCGGAAATAGTGATTTAGATAATTTTCTTTCTAATTTGAGGCTTGATGTTCATAATAATTTAAAAATAACTGAGTTTATTGGCAAAATAAAAGATATTGATAAATATTTCCGTCCATGTGATATATGTAGCTCTATTTATCAAGATATTGAAATACATATGGAATGGATACCATATTCTCAATTTAAAAATATAATGGAAATAGCAAAGGGAGGATTTGGTATTATATATCAAGCAATTTGGTTAGATGGTCCATTTTATATCAATAATAAAAATAAAAATAGAGCAAGGTGGAGAAATAAAACAGTCATTTTAAAAAAGATTTATGAATTCTCAATATATTGACAAATATTTTTTAAATGAGGTAAATATTCATATTATGCTTACACTTTCCATTGATATTTTATGAATAATCTAATTTAAAATCATGAAATTCATAGTTAAAATCAAATCAATATTGTTATCAAATTAAGCATCATATTATTAAAACTTATGGTTTTACAAAAGATCCTAATTTAAATGATTATATACTTGTTATGCAATATGCACCAGGAGGAGATTTACACAACTACTTACAAAGTAATTTTACAAAAATTACATGGAATAAACAAAAATTAACTATTTTATGGCAAATTTCAGAAGGGTATTTATACCAAAATATTATTTGTTTATTTTATGAAAATTTCTAATTTATTTATTTTATTTTAGACTTGAAACTATTCATAAAGTAGATTATATACATCGAGATTTTCATAGCGGGAATATATTATTTGATTCATATTATAACTCACCTGAATATATAAAGTTTATAGAAAGACATGAATGGAAAATTGGAGACCTAGGATTATCACAACCTGCAAATAATACATCGAATGACGAAATATATGGAGTAATACCTTATATTGCACCAGAAATTTTTAAAGGATCTTCATTTTCTAAAGAATCTGATGTTTATTGCATGGGCATGATTATGTGGGAGCTTACAACAGGTTGTAAACCTTTTGCTAATGTTGAACATGATATCAATCTGATTTTTAAAATCCTTGATGGAGGGCGGCCTGAAATTACTGAAGATACGCCGGAATGTTATGCTAATTTAATGAAAAGTTGTTGGGATTCTGATCCTAAAAAAAGACCATCTATAAAAAAAATTCGCAGTACTCTTGGTAGTTGGTCTTTTAGAAAAAAACATAATGAAGTATTTAATCAAGCTGAATTAAAGAGAAAAGAGTTAATAAGATTAGAAAAGCTTGGTCCTGAGTTTAGCGAAAAACTTCACCCAGAAGCTATTTTTACGAGTAGACTATTAAGCCCCTTCATTTCTAAATGTACATCTATCAATTCCTCAAAAGGTATGTAATAAAAAAAGCAGATGGATATTGTAATATAAAATACTAATGATTAAACTTTAGATGAATATTAATTTCTTTTTTAGATTATACTTCATTAGAATTAGATCTTGACATAGATATTGAAAGGTATTTATTTTATAATTAAAATTTTTATAATTTAAAAGCTCAACAATTCAAAAATCTTTAACCAATCGCAATTTAATAATAGACCAAACGTATTTGGAACTAAACGAAACATTAAAAAATTAAATACTAATTCTTACGAAAATAATGGTAAATATTTTTGACAAAAATTTCTATATTCGTTCACATTTTTATCTATATATTTAATTTTAAAATAGGAAAACGAATTAAATTCAAATAATAACAAAGAAATGAATGAGAATCCTTGAAAATATTTCTAAGAGTTTTTACGTTCTTTATGGATATTGTATTTATTTAATAATCAAGATCATTAAATATTATTTTTGAATTTAATAAATTTTTAATTTATGTAATACTGTAGATTTTATATTCAGTAGGTATTATTTTTTAGTAGCAATGATGACAATGATGAATATTTAGGAAATACAATATAATTGATATTGTTTTTAATGTAGCCTTGTATTAGTTTCGAAATTACCACGTAGCAAAGTACAAATTCATTAATTGATGTCACTGATTAATTAATTAAATGTTACTATTAATTTAACGTCAAATTTTCTGACGACATACTTATTATAAAATTTCAAAAATATATTAAAGCCTTTTGTTAGCAATTGAAGATATCGTTATAATGAATTTAAACTTAAATCTTAAATAGGAATCGTTATAAGAATTTAAAATTCAATATTGCGTTGATTAGCGAATGATCATATCTGATATATTCTATTTAATATATGATACATTCTTTGTGGTAATAAACACGTTCTTTAGAATTTTGCAAAGTTCTACTTTCATACTGTAGGATATTCACTGCACTTGTTTATACTACCATCAATTATCATATGTATTTCAGTCATTTCATAATAATATCGTTTATAAATCACGCAATTATGTCTTATGAAAAATTATTAACATGCGTAACCTTGAGTTTTTGTCCCTAGATAAATTATTCACATAAATTCAAAAAATTTTTATCAGAGACAGGAAATTTTTAATATCAAAAATAAAGTAAAATATCTGATATCAGGATAACCGTAATTAATGACTTAAAATCTAAATCCAAATTAAGAACTGTTTGTTAAAATAAAAAGTCCTTTTACATATATCCAAATATTTATATAAATTGCTGATTCGCGGTAGTAAAAGTAATTTATGGAGTTTTTTTGAAATATAGACGTAATTTTAAAATACTTTTAAAATTTTTTTTTTTTTTTTTTAAAAAAAAACTGTAACGCATCTTTATTAGAATTTAGTTTGATAAATAAAACATCCCAAATTACAAGATACTTAGAGCCGACCGTGCAAACACGTGACAACCCTATAACAGAGTACAGTACATCGAACAAAAAGATACATTACAAAAATAACAAATAAAAATAAATACTTACTCCTACCCTAATTAAAAATAAAAGAGACCTAACTAAATTTGTTAAACTAATTTACGTAGGGAAAAAGGTGGAAATGTAATAAATTCTAAGCCTAAGCTATATCTATGATAAATGATCCCCATTGGTCTCGCGCCTAGTATAAATATTCCACTTTTCCTCCCAACCCTACAAAAAAAGAAAGTTGGTATTCTAATCTAAAAACAAAAATTTTTAAACAGACGAAGGTAATTTTAAGTTTTTGTTATCGGAAAATTTTATAACGTGAATCACGTGACTTCGATTCTTAAAATCACAACAGTCCGTAACGTTTTACTTTTTCTTTTTCTTCCCTTTTCTCTTATTGCTCTTCCCACTCTTTTCCTTGGATGGTGATTCTAGATTCATTTCTTCTTCCTCCATTGGTGAAAAGGATAAAGTTTTCTCTTTCTCTTCGTTCTAAATATCTTTCAGTCCAGATTCTATTCCTTTCTTCATCGTCCTCAATTTCCTCTATACTCTGGTCCGGACTCCAATCTAATTTTGAAGGTGATTCTAGAATCGGTCTCTTCTCTCCGATTTCCTTTTCATCTTGGTAGCGATTTTCGTTCTTCAATCTTTGTGTAAAATCCTCCCAACTTTTTATATTTTTCTCCAAAATACTATTAAATTAAACAGCAGAAAAGAAAGAAAAAAAAATATATCGCGTTTATTTATTAACTAGCTAATTTGTGGTATAGTAACTTTAACTTTATAAATGTAACCACTAATTATGGAATCACGTGAAATAAACATCATACTTTGCACATGATGTTCACATTACAGTTTGCGAAAATAAAAAAAGGATTTATTACGTTATTATTGATTAGTAATTTTTTTTTTTTTCCAAAAAATTCAAAAGAAAAGAAAATGATTTTAAAATTTTATTCAAGATTTTCAAACCCTTTCGCTAATGTTAAATGATTCGGATTATTATAATGTAATTATTCAAGTCGGAAAAATCCAAAAAGAATTTCATGCACTTTCGTCTTATTTCAAAGTTTTTCAGATGGATGGATTAAGTTCAAAAAATCAAATAATAAGCTTATCAAAATCTCAAGTAAAGAACATATTTAACAAATACTTAGTTTTTTTGTTAATAATAATATATTGATTTTCTTCATCTTTAACAAAATTAAATGTATACTGTATATACAGGGAAAGTGAATTTAAACGATCAATTAAGCGAAATTGTTGGTTGTATCGAACGAATTGCTTCTTGAAAAATTATTTGAGCATATTTAAGATTATTTAATCGAATAACAAACAAGCTGGATTAAACGACATTATGTCCTTATTCTCCATGCAATCTACAAGCTTCTAGTTGCAAGAAAGTGCAGGTCATTGTTTTGAATCTAACTATGCAAATCCGCGACATTTTATTCCTTCAAGACCTTGCATCAAACAAAGTAAGACATGCTTTTATAATTACTAACTGAATCGAAAAAAAGATGCAAATTCTATTCGTAATCAAAAAGATTCATTATAGATTTGCCTTCAGATCGAAAAGAAACTTGGAAATTTTTTCTCATGCGTCTTCTTGGAACGCTTTACAATTTGAAAAATCATTAGTATAAAAGGACCACGTATTCATGTTATAATAAACATTACATTGCAATAGTAAAGTTTTCTTCGATAAAATCCATGTGACTATAGTGTGACTATTATATATAACTGCAGTCATTTATTTTTATTTCGAATTAGCGAAAAAATTAGAAAGAACTCTCATTAAGGTTTGAGAAATTCCTCCTTTTAAACATCCGCTACACATTCGTTTTATTGTATTCATCTTTAGTTTATAGTAATTAACAAAGCAATTTTACACATATAAAGTCAATAAAATTTTCAAGCAACTTTTAGTGGTATATTTATTAGGTTTACTTTTTAATAACTCGATCAAATATCTTATAATTCTGCGCAATACTTATCGAGATCTACATAATGTATACTGTACTATTTTATTAATCCAAGCGTCAAATTTCTTGCCATCCCCCTTATTTTCGTAAGACTTTAAACTTTTCAAATATATCACTTGGCAATACAAAGTAAATGCTAATCTCAGAATCTCTGTCTAAGATTCCCTTGATTGCTCTTAGTCCATCTTGATTGATTTTATGTCTCCTAGAAACGGTTATTTGAAACATCTTACAGTATTTTGATATATATAGCTATCAAACTTTCATACATTATCAGATTCTGGCCAATGATTTTTTTGTCTTTGATGTATATCATCTTTAATCTCACCAATATCCCAAAAAAAATATTTTCTTCTAAATTTGATTCAAATTCCAGGTTCTTTATTCGAATATCTGCCTGTGAAGAGATCCAATTTCCTTTAAATTCCTTGCACTGTCAACAAAAGTGCGGAATTTCTCCTTATTATGCTTTTTTAAGTAATTTAGGCATTTTCTTGTGGCATCGGTGTATGGATCTTTCGTTCCCCCAAGATTGGTGTGCATATGAATTATCTTGTGAGAAAATTCAAGACCAAAGAAGGATTTTCTATAATACATTGATCAATTGATTCAGATGCAGCAACAATCATTTTACGAATTTTTTCAGGAGTCATCTCACTATCAAAAATCCATCCTGGGATCCCACCACATAATTTCAACTTCGTTTTGATTCTTTCTCCAGAAATTTGTTTTTATATAGACTCTCATTTCAAGTTGGCATGTATAGTGTTTTACATCTTGGTTTATCAATATCTTTAATGATACTTCTCTTAGGCGAAGATACCATTATAAACTTTCCTGCAGACCATCAGGGCGCCCTTCCGACAATTTTGCACCAAGCATTCTCACATTGTGCAAGAAGTTGTACTCTTCACTATTCACTGTGAAATATTCACCCTGAGGGTCAATATATAACATCTTAACATGCAATCTTTATAGTCGAAAAGAACTACCTTTCCTTTTTGAAGAAGCTCCACTAATGTTAGTCTCCCAAAATATGTCTTGTCATGCCTGGATTTCTGGTGATTAAAATCGATTGTGGGCTGTACTATTGAGTACAAAGTCATTATGATAGTCATAGCAATTTCGTTTATATATCGCTGTTCTATTGACTTCTCCTAGCAATGGTGGCACAGTAAACGCTTGTTCATTTGTGTCAATAGAATCTAAGATATCAATAAGGAGTTTGATCTTCATCTTGTCTAGAAGCGGTATAAATCAAGTTGAGAATTTATCACTCTCTATAAAATTCAACATTAAACAATAAATACTTTTCTCTTGGGAATTGGGATTCCATTAGTAATCGGCAAA